GAACTAAGGATTGGGACAATCGGGATGCACGATCAAGGTTTCGCTAAACTTGTGTCGCAACTTGCAAGGAACTGCAAGCTGGCCTTTTTTAGGGGCGTGGGGGGAAAGGGAGACGATCGGGGGGAAGTGCAGGAGATTGCAGGAAATGTCCCGGCCAGTCGGGGCTCCATGGTGACCATGACAAACAGTCAAATTGAATTGATGATGCTGTGATGAGAATGATAGTATACGTAGTACGAGGCATGGGTTTCAGCTGGTAAGAGGACTGTTTCATCCCACCTCAGCAATAGGATCATCACTAGCATCGCATCAGTATTGACTGTGTATGAACTTTGCAAGGAGTTGGTGCCGATTATTCCGTCGATCGCAAAAGAAAGGATGAGAGTCATTCCCTGGGGGAGGTCAATAGTGCCGGAGACTATCAGGTCAAGGGGGGGAAGGGAAGCATCCACCAAAAGGAAGAGAGGGATTATTAGGTATTCTTGGTGGTGATTATTCAATAATACGTAAGGCCATCCAGGCAGAGACCGACGAGAAAACGAATCTGAGACGGAGCGCCATCAACTTGAAGCCGCGGATCCGACCCCTGAACCCGCTGCCTCAGGCGTCGGGGCCTCGTTGCTTTCTCTCTCTCTCCACTTTCCTCTCTTTAGTTGGAAGTGTCTCTCTTTCTCCCTCTTCCTCCTCTTCTTCTTCTTCTTCTTCTCCCTCTTTCCTCTCTTCTCACCTACTCATCCTCATCCCCCCTACCATTCATTCATTCATTCTCTATTCACAGCTTCCTCACTCCAATCCCCTCTTTGTCCACCATGGTTGTGTCCACCGCGGTTACATTGTCTCACCTGCATTGACTTTGTTTCCCCCCACTACCGAACCACTGTTTGCCTCCCGCGTGTTGTTAACAGATTGGGTCTACTGTTTATCTCACGTCACCCCGTCCCTCCTCTTTCTGGGACGCGTTCATTCATCCTTGTGAATGCCCTCCGATTCCTTCGCTTCATCCGTGCGAAGCGCTGAATCTCCTCTTCGCATCTCCACCTCCGTCGATTCTTTGACCAACCCCTCGAGCTCCGATTCTCCCCTCCCCAGTCCCATCCGCCACGATCAATACCCTCTGCTGACCTCCCGCTTCCGCCACTTGTCGCCCAAACGAGCCGCCATCATGAACGAGACAGGCGGCCATCCTGGTGTGCGCAACCTTCTCGCTAGGTTCGAGAACAACCAGAACAACACTACTTCCCCTCCCTCCCGCGGTCGATCTCCCGCTGGCTCCGAACATTCCGCAACTGCCAGACCCTTGTCCAAGGTGCGCGCCAGCTTCATCGCTGTCGATGGAGCCACCCAGCCGAACCCTGTCGCAGGGCTTCGCAGCGTGAGTGGTCGCAGCGATAGCCCTGCTGCTCCCTCTCGGGTCAGGAGCTTCAATTCGGAGGATTTCGAGGGTGGCTTGAGAAGTCCGTTGTCTGTGTCACCAACCAGCAACGGCTTCCCTCAGAAGATCACCGAACAGCCCGTTGCGGCCTCGGAGACATCGCAGAATGATGTGTCTGAGAAAGTCGAGTCTGCCCCGGTAGAGCCTGAAAAGCCCTCAGAAGAGGTCATCGAGGAGGCCCCTGCACCTGCTGCTGCTGCTGCTGCTGCTGCTACGCCAGCCCCAGCTTCTCCTGTAAAGGCCAGCAAGGTCTCCACCCCCAAGCCGACGCCGACCAAGACAGTCACAAAGCGACCATCCACTATCCAGGTGGGAAAGACGGCACCCAAGCCTGCTTCCAAGTCGCCAGCGCAACCCCGTACCCCCACCTCTCCCGCCAAAACCGAGGACAAGACTACTCGGACTACACGGGCAGTCCGGCCGACGGCGACGAAGACTGCGGCCCTTGAAGCCCCCAAAGTCGCACACAAGCCGAGCCGGACATCCTTGAACACTGCGACGAAGCCCGTCACCAAGCCTGCACGGCCCTCTGTGCCTGCCCGCGACCTGACAAAGCCGACAGCCTCGACCGCATCCCGCACCACCAAAGCGGCCGCCAACCCCACTCGCCCGGCTTCGACAACGGCTTCGACTTCGTCTACCGCCAAGAAGACCACCACGTCTACTCTGACGCGCAAGCCGTCCACGCTGAAGAGCTCGACCACTGCAACCCAGAAGCGCGCGATCACTCCGACCGCTTCCACCGTGCGCAAGCCGTCGTCTCGTACCTCCCCTCCTAGCGGAAGCGAACGCCCTCATTCCCGTGTGAGCAACACGAGTTCCAGACCGGTCGACGAGGGATTCCTGGCTCGCATGATGCGCCCCACGGCTAGCTCTGCCAGTAAGACGCACGACAAGGTTGAGGTCAAGAGCCCCCCGCGGGCCACCAAGCCGGCCCGGGCGCCTAGACGAGTTCCCTCCAAACTGGATACCCGCACGTCCCGTCCGACCAAGGTCGAGCAAGGCAAGCCGCTGGAGAAGCCTGCGCCTGAGGCGAAGGCCGAGGAGCCGGCCGAGGTCGTTTCTGAGGCCTCTGCTATCCCAGAGAAGCCCGTCGAGGTTGTCGAGGAAGCTCCCGCGCAGGAGCCTGTGCAGGAACCTGTTCAGGAGCCCGTTGAGACCTCTGTCGAGCCTGAAGCTGAAGCTGCTGCTTCCGTCGCCGAGGCTGCCCCTGAAGTCGATGCTACCGAGGTTGCTGAAGCTGCTGAGGAACAAGCTACCGACCTCCCTGCGGTTGCTGAGACCGAGCCCGTTGCCGAGATCACCGTGCCGACGGAAGAGCCAGCCATTGAGGTGCCCGAGACTAAGGAGGTCACTGAGCCCGAAGCTCCTGCTAAGGAATCTACTGAGGCTTCCACTGAGGTTGTCGCCGAGGCTCCTGAGGTTGTCGAGGCCCAGTCGGGCGAGGTTGATGTTGACATGGGCAAGCTCTCTCTCAACTGACTTTCTGCGGAGCACTTGACCAGTTAAAATAGATTCTTCTCTTCTCGTTTCTTTCTCGTGACATATCTTTTTATACCCTTGATAATCGTGATGCGACCAGGTACATATGCTTGTCTCCACGTGTTCTTGATACTGATTTTATTGTTGGGCTTTACCCTTCTTCTCTGCTTCTTGGCTTCTCTGTCTTCCATTTTGGTCTCGGGTTATCTTTCGGGATCTTGGTGTGGAAAGCCCCTTGTTGACAGTCGAACAAGACCGACGACGTGCATGTCGGAGCATTGCAGGTGGAGTTGATTCGGATGTGATCTTAGCGATGTGTACGGAGTACTGCATCTTGCATAGTACTGGGTCCTCTGGCATATTCTTATCCTTGATTATTTTATGCTTTGGTGTAAATTATTGGTATTCAGTAAACGATAGTTTGTTAATCTTATCATAACATGCCAGTACACACAGAAGCCCTTTTACCTAGATCATTACGATTGATTTTCATGACCAAACTAATAGCCAACTCAGAACACAGCTACAGCGTGCATTGTTCTAGACCGCCACAGCTTATACCTTGGGAGAACGCCGAGCACATATTTACTAATAATGCGCTCGACTGCATGCTACGCCCTACACACAACAGCAGTATAATCCTTCGCCCATGAAAGGATTCTTCCTTCTCTCCACCTCAAATTTACTGGTTCTATTTTTATTGACTCCAAATCCAATGCCATTCGATCCGATTTAAAATCAACTTACCATGTGATGGATAGCATCATCACCAGACCACAGAGAGATAGTCAGCTCATGAAGCGGATTTCAAGCCGTACATGCACACAGTAAATAGTTACTAACTAGGTATCCGGTGAATAAATATGCTCAATACTGCTCTACTAGCTGCTGAGGTCAGATTAATCATTAGCGGTGATTCACGGAACAGAATAGCACGTGCCTGTACCTGTTTGTTCTAGATTGGATTAGTTCCTGGCAGTACTTTGTTCCTTCTATAGTAGGTAGTTATAATAACAACAGGAGGAGTGAGCACTGGATTATTAAAGGCGTCATCTATCCTCTTTGACTCACTCGTTGAATCCTAACTATCTCATAACTGCTATTCATCCTCCCCAATCTCGTCAAATATCACCCCACTATGACAGGTACTTCCCCTCCCTCCCCCGCCCCTCTCCACATCCCAACTATCACCTCCATCCATTGACACTGACATTAACACCACCACTCCAGACTCTCCCACTACCGCAACAACTACATCACCGCCCCTCCGCATCGGCGTCCTCCTCTTCCCGGGCTTCCAAGCCCTCGACGTCTTCGGCCCCCTCGACGTCCTCAACGTCCTCTCCTGGTCCACCAACACTCCCTCACTCACCTCCCCATCTCCAATCCCAACTCCACCCATATCCCTAACCCTCCTCTCCACCACCCTCACCCCCATATCCACCCTCCCCCCCTCCCTCCCCAACGCCCTCTCCCAATCCATCCTCCCAACAGCAACCCTCACCTCTGCCCCACCGCTCGACGTCCTCCTCATCCCCGGAGGCTGGGGCACTCGCGCCCCGCTCCCCGAACACATCGAGTACATACGCTCCGTCTACCCGTCCCTCAAGTACCTGTTGACTGTGTGTACGGGGGGCAAGTTAGCTGCCAGGGCGGGCGTGCTGGATGGGAAGAGGGCCACGACGAATAAGAATGATTGGGAGGGTGTGGTTAGGGATGCTCCCCGCGTGGAGTGGGTGAGGGAGGCGAGGTGGGTGGTTGATAAGTCTACTGCGAAGGGAGATGGGGTGGGTGTAGAGGTGTGGAGTTCGGCTGGTGTGAGTGCCGGTGTGGATTTGATGTTTGCTTGGGTGGAGAGTATTTGGGGGGAGGAGGTTGCGGGGAGGGTTGAGAGGGTGTTGGAGTTTAGGAGGTGGAGGGAGGGGGAGAGGGATCCGTTTGTTTAGTTTGTTAGGGGTTGATTGACTGATATTGTTCATTGATTGTTTGGGGGGCGGCGGTGGTGGGTAGGGATATTCTCCTGGGGTGTTGTATGTTATGGATTGATGTGTTGATGAGGAATGTGAACGTGCACATGTATGGAATGGAATTAATCGCTGTTGAATCGAACGTGTAAGACAAATGATATACTATGTAGAAGAAGCATTCAACGCCAGTATAAACAGATCCTTAACCATCATGCCATAACAATCCAAAAGTCAAGTTCCTTATAGGAGATGGTTACAACTTCTTCTCCAACTTCTTCAAGAACCGATTCACCCCATGCTCCACCTTATACGCACTCTTCACAAAATACTGCGGCCGATGCGGATCCCCCGGCTTGACCATCGCCTCCTTGGCATACTTCTGATGCGGGGAGATCGACTCCTGCGCCGTCGGCTGATACAATTGATTGTGAACGTTGTACTCATTCCCTGACACCGTTGCGCTTCGCTTCGGTCCCTGCTGTTCATACGAGAAGGTCGAATATCCGCCTAGCGACAACTGCATTGGCGGGGTAGATGTCGATGATGAGTCCGTTGACGTTCTGTATATGCCAGGAGTTGGTCCTGCGGCGGCTCCTGCTCCTGCTCCGCCGAAGAGGTGCGCGTTAGGGTCAGTGGGAGGCGGGGCGAAGGACATGCGTTGCTGCTGCTGCTGTGGTGGACCTGGGAGTGACTGGTTCCCCATGGGATGGCTGAGGCTCTCGCCTGATAGGAACGAGGCAGAGTATGAGGGCAGACCTGGGCTAGGCATGGAGGTTGGGAACGAGGAGAGGCCAGCACTCGGAGGTCCAGGGGGCACGTAGTTCCCAGGCATGCTGTAGGGCGGGGCGGGCCCTGGTGGAGGTGGAGGGGCGGATAGACCTCTTGTTGCTGATGGTGCTGTTGCTGTGGCGGCTACCCCCGGAGGCATTTGGGAGGATTGAGGATAAACAAGGCCGTTGTCGACAGCTGCAGCTGCTGCAAGGCCGGTTCCTGTCTCAGCGTCCTCTGGCGGAGGAGTCTTCTCTCGGTGCCTGATAGGCTCTGGCGCCGGGGGTGCAGCGGGATTGTAGGGTAGAGGGGCGGGAGTTGGTTCCGGCGGAGTAGTATCCTGTTGTTCGCTGGCTACGGACTGGATTCCAGGCATGAATGGCTGGGCAGTTGTAGCTAAGCCGCCTAGTGGAGGGGGAGGAGGGAGGTTGCTCGGTGGTGTGATGGCTTGGTAGCTGGGCACGGGGTTAGACACAACCTCGGCTTGAGAATTGCGAGTCTGTCCATTCTGGTAGCCAGGATCGGTGATGGCTACATTTTCCAGCTGCTGCACAACAGAACTGACGGTGCTTTGTGGTGGAGGTGGAAAGGGGTGTCGGTCTGTCTCGATTTGTGACTGCGAGAGATGACGCTCCACCAGATCTAGGAATTGAGTGACGTCCTCCGTCGTCCAGAAATAGATGTCTAGTGTGTGCAGGCGGAATAGGGCCGGGGAATCGTTACCAGGCAGTTGCCATTCGCTTGAAATGGCGCCTGGTGGCGGCGGAAATGCCGGTTGGCCTTGGGGTGGACTCGGCACTTGTCCGTCCACGGTCACAGTGCAGAGAGTCGGGAATTTAGTTGAATGTCGGAGATGGATATTGTCCAGAGCTATAGGCGTTTAGCGATAAATCAGTATCACCAAGGAGGTGAGTACTAACTGCCATTGAAAGCATCCTGCTCTGGAGTCCCTGGATTGTTCGCGACCTCAATCCTGATCTTCTGCAGAGCGCTGTTGAGATATAGATATAGATAGCAACCCTTATCAAACCGGTGATGGACAGGCTTCGGACATGGCGCTGCAAAATAATAATGGATATCCGCAAAGCTACACGGCGGTTAGCAACTCCAAGCAACCAGATGTGATACAGCTGCAGCAGCTGGGATCTGCGGGGTAGCGCTACTCACACAGTTAGTATACGCTCTTCACCCGATAACGGCGGCATAATGGGCGATCAACGTCGATAAGGCCACCAGGGCGTGTTGAAGAAGAGAAGAAAAGATGATGAATTCCGCACGAAGCGGGAATTGGGGGGAGACGACAGCGCCATGATTTATACCTAGACAAGAGGGGAATTCACACCGGCCTGTAAGATGCAGCGATGCAGCGTGATGCAGAAGCCCGGCGGCTACAGAGCGGCTGAGAGCGCTTCTGGCCGCTGATTCGCTGCCGCCGGAGATGTCACAAGAAACAGTGATGCCTGAGGCATATAACCCTATCGGCGCCGCGATTATGTTCCTCCGAAAATTTCATCTGAGCTTCCGCATCATCGGAGATTGTCTGCCAGCGGGACCTCAAATCCGACCATTGCTGCTGCTGTTCTAGATTGAATCGATAGAGATTCGACTATCTTTTCATTGACCTTCTCCGCCCACCGCAACAGGTACACCCAACCCCCCCACCAGCTTCAGTCGCCGCGCAAGTTTGCTTACTCCGACCCAGTCACCTTATCCCCGTCCTCCGCACACCACAGGCCCCCGGGCCAAACCTCTTGTCAAGATGTCTCTCGTCAACCTCGCCCACGTCTGCTCGCACCTGAACAATGCCTGCAAGGCCCGTCTCGGCCTCACCTCCATCCCCAACTCCAAGCTCCACCTGAAACTCGCCCTCGCGCTCCAAAACGACGGCTACCTCTCCTCCGTCGTCCGCGGAGGCCCGACTCCTCCCCCTGTACACCCTATCCTCGGCAACCCGAACCCAGTCGATGAGGTCGAAGGCATCGAGCCCGTGACTCAAAGTAACGTCGCTACCCGACGACTCTGGCTTGGTCTGAAGTACTGGCAGAGCGAGCCCGTGCTAGGCAAGTTGAGCATGGTTAGCAAGCCGACACGACGAGTGACGATCGATGTGGCTGGTCTGCGTCGGGTGATTCGCGGTGAGCGGGATAACACTGTTGAGGGTATTCGCTCGCCTGGTGAGAGCTTGTACATCTCCACGGACCGGGGTATCTTGGAAGCTAGGGAATGTGTGGAGAAGAAGCTGGGTGGGTTGGTCTTGTGCCGTATTCGCTAAGGACTTTATACGGAGAGGGAAGGATGATAGATGGATTACTTTTGATTCTTGTGGTTTTGCATTTATAGCGGAGTTTGGTCAGTCGCGCTGTGTCTCATCCCATGCTTTGTATGTTTTATGTCGCGACTTTGGGATGGATACCTTGTATAGTAACTAGGTGACTTCATGTACGATCTACCATTTTGAAGGCCTGTTTTTCTTATCTTTTGTGCTGGCTGCCAGTGATGATGGCTTGGTTGGAGCCGATGGTCATTGTAGGTGGTGAATCTAGCTGCTCGTGATGTTCATCTAGCTCTGGTCTTTTGTTTACAGGGGATCCGCCTAGCTATGGTTCAACAAACCTCAGGGACAGCCAAGCAACAGGTTTAGAGCTCGGTGAATGACTCAGGAAGACATTCTCGTATCCAGGCAGGGTTTCGTGCACATCTACCAGGATCAACCCCTCTACTACTACGATGTTCTCAACAAGTTGCAGCTGGCCAGGTCATCTATCGACATACAGAACCACCCGGTAGTGTCCGATGGCTTACTGCTCCGCCTGTGAGCACCTTGAAATCAGAGTGCTTTAATGATTATGGCATTCTGCTGCAGCTCTACACCGACCTGCCTGATCCAGTAGATTCTGCTGCTTGCATCTAGCAGTGTCTGCTGACAATATCCTGTTATCCATGTGCATGTGAGCTCCTTCCCATGGGTCTCTTTTGCGGCGGTTGTCTCGCTTTGACCGTTCATCGAATTAGTGCACCGGTTTATGAAGCTGCCTTACGCATGGCTCAGCTGTCGTGGCGGCGCTGATATAAGCAACAGGTTCGCCATGCAATATTGGCAAGTACGGAATATTTTCTTCCTGTTAGAACTCCTAGAAACGCCGTTGAGTAGCCGATACAATAGTAATTCTCAATTTATACTTTCCTGTTGGTGCATGGACTCTGCTGCCATTGCCAACACCTCACCGTGCAATGGGAGGACATCAGATCTTCCAATGTTAGTCATAGAATTTGGACCAAGTCTGATGCGCAGTGTGTCTGGATTGAGCCAGCGATGTTATCTCCGGGCTGTCCGGATACTGACTTGAGATCACCATGACCCATTAATCTATCGTCGATGTACCAACGAGATAGGTAGCAGGAATGCTGGTTAGGACGAAGGGGGCATGGTCTGGTGGGATTGTAAAACCACGGTGGGTAGGGCAGGACACCCCAGGCGTTTGTGACTACCGAGATAATATCGGGTGAGCTTCAAAGCAATATCAGACGCCACGAATCATCCACACTCTTTACTCGGGAGGTTACCTCAGCGACTTTCCGTTGGGTCGCAATGATGTACGCCATACGCAACCCGGCAATGTCTCACAGCTTGTGCTGGTTCAATTTAATCGAGTAATCGGTTCGATCCACGAGAGAAGGCCCTGGTTGCTTTGTCTTCTGGATTCTTCTTGTCCAAGGTTTCCCCTTATTTGCCTCGGCACATTGTTTGCTCAGATGGGGTCATTTAGTGTATCCAGAATATAGGCAAATAGCCAGGGATCCCCTCAATAGATCGGGGTGGTAAGTTTCCCTATTCATGATCTATCATTAGTTCGATTGCTGTTTGCACGTCAGTGACCTCGTACGAAGAAGTAGTTTCATCAAGTCAGCGTCGGGAAAGGAGTATTGGCTGACACGGACGCCCTCAGTTTGGGCGACAAAACATGCAGCTGTGTGTGCCCAACTCATCGAGGAGCAGTGACATTTCAGGCCGGGAACCTGAAGCTCCCCGCCCTGTGGATTCTCGACTTTAGGCCGCCATCCGTCCTTGACCGTGGTGTGTGTGTGCTCCCGATCCACTCCACAATATATACACCAAATCTCTGTGGTAGTTGAATTGAACTGGGTCCTTCCCTCCAGCATAGGCAGCTGTAGAGCAAATGCGAGTAGCGCATCCTCGACAGTGGGGATGGATCCGTAGATAGACAAGGGCTAGATGTCTACCAGTTGGAGTTTGAGATGGACTGGACAAGCGCCAGACTATGGTTCGGTTCACCAGCACCATGGAGTACAACGATATGCGCATAGCCAAAAGAACGATCTGGAGTGGAGTTAAGAATAATGACGGTAGATGCGGTAGCAAAGTCCCGATGGGGAAAGGAAGATCGGGTCTATTTTGGCCCTCGACCGGTGGACTCAGGCACCCAGGCCAGTCCCCGCCGTCCGCCCCGTGATTCGCAGTTTGCTTCTCTTTCCCACTGCAACCTCCGCTTCATCATCGGCCTTGGTCTTGTTCTCCTTCTTCGTCCCTGTCCACAATTGGATCCCAATCAAGGCCCAGTCGATGTGGGTGGAGAGACATGGGACCATTGACACGGTGCCCAGTAACTTTATTCCCTTTAACTTCCCCCCTCCCAAAGAAAAAAACAAAAGCCCCTTACCCGCAATGTTCCATCAGCAAATGGACTGACTGGCAATTGGGCCAAGGCCGTGAATAATAGTAGGTAATGTTCTCGTCCTTATGCCCAGCGGACGCATGTTCCCTGCCGAGTCCTGCGGTTGCTGCCCAAAACCCTATGCAGCACCGGATCCTTCGACTCCTCATTTCTTGTCCTGACATGCGCGGTTGAGGGCAAGATCAACATACAGGAGTTGGCTATGTCCCGCTGGTGGAGTCTCGCTGCGATTTACTGCCGGGTCCATCCATGGCTATGTACCCCAGTATGCCTGGTGCAGCTCCACTGATTGCACGGAAGACTGGCAGGGCGTCTAGCTCCGGGAGTTATTGTCTGGCTGCTGCGCCGGCGGACTTCCTTATTGCTCTTCATCGTCCCTTGTTCTCCCGGACGTCTCTGGCTCAATCGATCCCCCTCAACCCTGTCGGCGAGGCACGGTGGAGACCTGGCTCGATTGGCCCTGGAAGCAAGATAGATTCGTTGTTTTCCGTATAGTACGAGGTATCTTCCGGCACGCGCTTGCTCCCTGACAGAGCGGAGCCCGGCCTTGAGCAATCCAGTCCTATTGCCACTGACAGTGGAGTTCTTCATATTTCTTCCAACTTGCCATATCTCACGCGGCCTTTGAAATTAAAAGCTTATCTGGTGCCGTGGGCCGTCCACCCTCTTATTTTATTTTTTTCCCACATTATCTGCTACTTTGCTATAATAAAACGCCCCATTCTACTCGCTGTCAGGCACCATTCTGAAAGGTCTGGACTGAACAGGCTGAGGTTGCCTCGCCATTGTGTATACCCGTTCATTCTTCTATATAAATCATCAGCCTCATGTCCACGGTCCTTTCACCCTCATTGATCGCAATGTCTTCAGGTCTCAGTTATTTCTCACGAGCATCTGGGAGCAGCGGCTCCTGCACACATTCCATCAGCAGTGATGATTCGTGGTCTCGCCACAGGTCAGCCCCAATGCAATATTCTCCTTATTTTGTTCCTGGTGGTGTCGTCGGGGGAAGCTCACCTTGTACAGTGGCATCATGCCCCAACAACCGTCCGTATACGGGACTTCGGGCGAGGCGCCCGTGATCTATCATCCAAGGTACCTTGTCACTATCTTGTATCGGCTCTACTTCCTTTCTTTGCAGAATCTGTCATACTGAGACTCTCATGTCACTCATCCTTAGCGCTAGAAGGTTCTCCCCTCCGCATATTGAGCGTGGACCCATAGATACTCAGGCTCCTGTCAAGCCCAACAAACCAGTTTCGTCGGAATTTGCTATGCCATACAGCGGACTTCCAGTGACTTCACATGCATTGGGAACCATTCCCGTGTCTGCAGGAGGTGCCTTGCCACGCCCCACAGCTCTGTACCCAGAGTGGGACCACCCTGCTCGCCTCCCAGCGGAGTCACTTAGGCGTGATTACGACCTAGTCAGACCCTACGAAACTTCGGAGTACCTGATTGAAAGAAACAGTCGACGCGCAACGGAGAAGCCTAAAGGCGCTACCCGGTATCACTCGCAGAGACGGCCGTCTAATCGTGACGAGTTCGACGGACCCCATCAGTTGCTAGACCCACCGTCACCGCGGGTCATAGCAGCCCAAGGGAGGGATTTGCCTCATCTACCTACTAATCTAGATGTCTCAGAGCAAGATCAAATCCTGTCGTCAGTAAACGACCGACTGTCACAGTGTGCCTTTGACTTCGTTGCAAAGTATCAATTTCCGATTCCACTGGAACCGGACAAGAGACCGGTGAGAGTTCCTTCTGACCGCGAGTGGACCGAGTGGGTATATCTCCTAAAGAGACTGGCGACCAAGCGTCGTATCCCAGCCCGGGTGTTGTATAATGGCCAGATCAAGCAATTAGTGACCGTTCTGGAGAATTCCCTGGAGATGAGACATGCCGCCAAGCATCAATCCCGGCCCATCAAGGATGATCGGAATGTTCTTCAACTTATCTCAGCTGGCACGCAGGTGGCCAAGATTCTCAAGGATGCCAATGCCATGGAATTCCTTGACCGCCTCTATCTTGATACAGAAAAACGCATCCATGATCGACGCAGCCGTCGCGTCAAATTTGCCAGCCCATGAACTAGGGTATTTGCCAGCCTTTGCCTAAATTATGATGATGATGATTTGAGTTATGGCCACACGATCCTGCCTTCCCATGGACCAAGTGCAGACCGCCATGCTCCTGTTTTTGTGGTTTACCCCTCCGCACCTCTGGACGGTTGTTCCCAGGAAGGAGACTTCCCAAGGAGAACAAACACAGTGCCCGTGGAATATCCGGATTACCCGTCCATTGTTCAAGCGGAACTGCGGACCTTTACCTTACCCTTACGGATGGATTGACTTTGTCCAAGCGTCCCACATATGGCCCCTGGATATGGATTCCCCAGTACTACCGGATTGGCCGATTCGATGATCTCAGGCCATGACCGGCCGAGATTTTAAACAAGTTTGGTTCAATAGATCCCCTTTGATTGGACGATGATGAAGTATGCCATGGTGATATTAGGGCTTCTTTTATGCCGTTATGGAGGTTTCTCGTGTGTTCCTCGGGTTTATTTGTCTCTTTTTATATGTTGTCTGGATTTCCATGATCAGATTACCTTTCGGCTTTAGATTATACTTTTGGTGCCGTTATATGCTTTTGAACCTTATGCCTTGGTATGGGTTGAAGATTTGTCTATTCCTTATGTTTCTCCTTCAATATCATGTTGTACAGCTCATTTTGGCTGATCCGGGTGGCCTTTTGTTTTTTTGCACTGCGGTCGACTTCCGTTGATCTAGAGGTTACATGGCTGTTGAATTGTCATGTTTATTGCGTTCTGTTGGCTTTTCAGGCTGAACACTTATATGAAACTCTGCGCTGGCTCAGTGCTTGGTCCATTTTTGAATTGTCCACTAGCACTGATAAAGCGTTGTCAGCAGCCAGACTTTGTGTCTTTCTCAGGGACATATACAAATACTTTTTGGACTCTACGAAGCGGGAATACAGTGTTATTTTCACACTATAGAGCCATACGAGCGTTTGCTGAAGGGAGATGAGGTGGAAAGACATGGGGCCACATTGGGGGAAAATTCCTGCAGAATTAATAGTCTGTTATGCGCCTTCTCTGTCCGGACATGATAATCGGCCAAGATTGGCCTCAGGCACAGAGACAGAAGGGGCCTTTTTCTAAACCCCTAGTGCTTCTCAACCAGCCCTTGCCTCAATCAAGATAGTCTGGCAATCAACAGACGGCTATCATTCTTACTGCCCTTACTAACGAACCAGGTACAATCTTACCCCCAACCTCCTCAAAGAGCCACCATACTTGGCGCGCCACTTGTTACCTCTCTGCAAAAACATACGTAATACAACGGGACCAAACAAAACCACGAGAACTGGGCGATTTATAGGCCCAACAAATCATTGCTTTCGAGGTCAGCGGGCAGCCTGAGGCATGGCCCAGAAGGAAGTGCATGATGATCACTAGCATTCTTTCTGGAGTAATTGTACTAGCCTAGTAAGTAAGTATCTAGTAGTGTCTGTCATTTGGTATGTGACAGAGATAACTGTACTACCTGTTACACTAGAACATCTTGTTATAGTGTTATCTTCTTTCAATAGTTTTAAAATGTCCATAATACCAAAGTATTTTCATTTGGTAACTAAAATCCGATCGCATTAACTTGTGTCATGAAATGAACTCATAAGTCAGGTACTATCTCTAACATGGTATACTGGGTTTAACTCCCCACCGAACTTATTTAAACGTACTTACTGAGACATTCAAGCTGTACTAGTTGCTAGTATCAAACAAATTTTATCAGCAGCGGGTTCACCCAATCCATCATGATATATATCTTGTACTACTATTCCAGTTTCACTACTAGCACTACTCATAATCATCCCTTTTCCTCTTTCTCCCCCCCTCCCTACTACTAGTACTATTATTCTCATTCCACCCCTCCAAAAAGTCCAAAAGTCTACATACAAGCTCCTCCTTCCTACGCGCGGGCCTCGGGCCTATCGGCAGTTCATCATCCCATTCAGACTCCGCCTGCTCCGACAAACACTCCCGCCTCACCAGGGTCAGTCCCAGCCCATACATCCGCCAGCAATCCCATACCGCCATGCCGAGTGCGTGCCAGGACTGTGACAGGTCCTGCTGGGAACCGCGTGGGGACGTGGACATTGACTTGCTGCTGCTGCTGCTGCTGTTGTTGTTGTTGTTGTTATCCTCGCGGGTTAGCTGTTCTTCTCCGACAGGTCTGATCATGCTATAGCGGCTTGGATTAAGCCACTCGGTGCTTCTTGTGCAGTTGTCGGAAGGCTTGAAGCATAAATTAGGAGGTAGTGGTAGTGGAGTTTGCGTGGCTTTCTGATGTAACTTGCGGATTTTGCCGAGGGCTTTTGTAGATGGTCGACGTTGAGCTCGCGGCTGTAGGTCAAAGTCTGTGTCTGTACCTGCATCCGTTTTGAACAGATCCAAATTCTCATCTAAGCCCTCCAACCACCCAACAACAGTTCTTATCTCACGATAATTAATGCCTAACCACTTGAACTCCTCATCATCGTCAGTATCTATGTCCATATAGTCATCTTTCATTCTCTGAAGTCGAGCATCAGTGAACAATCTCAGCTTCTTGCCAACAGATAACAATTCATATCTCAGCTGTAGAAACCACAACGGACGGTAGATGCGATACTCTTCGAGCCATGAGGGAGGTCCCACGTCGTGTAGCTTGTACGGTTCCATGTCTGTCTGTGTGGATGCACTTGTCTTTGGATCTAGGTCTTCTTTGGTCCAGCGGTGCGGATGAACGCTCCGAAGCCGGGTTAGGAAGGTGGATAGACATGCGCATGCTAGACGCTGGATGTTGGCCGCGAGGGTGATCATTTCGAGGAGGGTTGTGTGGGCTGGTGGGGAATCGAAGGAGAGGGAGGAATCATCATTCCCTAATAGGAGTGTAGTATAACAGATGGTGCGGCTGACTGCTGGTTGTGAGGAAAATTGACGTAGTTTGGTGATTATGTGGAAGTGCCGACGGATAGCAACGGACATGATGGGGTTGTTTTTGAGGGTGTATTTGACAATGCGTATGGCTTCGCGGTGGGCTTTGGATGATGTTCGTGCTGATCTTCGTGATTGTTTCTTTGGTGAGGTGCTGGGGGCTGCTGAGGTGGTGAAGAGGTCGTGTAGTGGTGGGGAGATTTGAATGAGGCTTTCGAGCGTGATCCAGTCTGCTGTGTAGTCGATGATTAGGGAGAGGAGCTCGTATGGAAGCTTGCTTAGGGGGTCCATTTTGGTGCTGATGTTGTGAGTGGAGTTGGTGGTTCTGTTCTTTGGGGTGACCAAAATCTGGATATGTGTGAGAAGGTTAAGATGACATATTCTATCGTCAGACAAACTTATCATGCAGATTTACGTGCTTTTGGCGTCATTCTATGGTTGCATGCAGTCGGGTCTCGCAACAAAAAAAACATCAGCTATACTTACATAACATACTGTTATAACGCAAAAAAAGCTCAAACAAAAGACAAATACGGAGGATTCCATCAGTTTCTTCCAAACAACGTCCTCCACACAGCTCTCAACGACAACCTCTCCGGCCACCTCATCAATACCCCAGCCCCGATCATCACCGACACCAGGACCGACCCCAGCCCAGCAACGCCTAGCAACTTCCCCTGCCTCTTCACAGACGCAATAACCTCCGAGTACCGTTGGTTACTGAAGCTTACCCGAGAATACTGTGTCTGCCATCCCAGGCTCGGTACATAGCGGTCTAGTGTCTCCTCCACCGTCTTGCGCAACTTGTAGACGGGACTCTTGACTCCCCAACGCATTTCCAGATAATTCTGCTTGGACAGGTCGTTGATGGCCCATGTATCGGCCGTGCGTTGGTTGGTGTATGCTTGCAATGCTGCGGCACGGGCAGAGGCTCGAGCTTCAGGTGTAGGACTGACATGATCGTCATAGACGCCGTATTGGTCCATAAAAGAGAAGAGAACGCGGATATCTTCAAGTCCGGCGTTCAGTCCCTGTCCATAGAAAGGCAGGACGGCGTGTGCAGCATCGCCGACTATTACTACGCTGGAGCCGAAGTGGTGTGGTTTACATTTCAGACTGATGAGAGGAAGGTGTGGGTTCTCGGTGAATTGCTGGGATAGGGCTTCAGGCGAAATCAGGTTGGGACAGACGCCGGGAAAATTATAATCGAAGGAGGTCACAAGGTCTTGCGGTGAGCTCTTTTCCAGTTTCTCATAGTGCCAGGCTGGTGCGAATAACGTGCAGGTGAAGGATTTATCAGCCGATGGAAGCGCAATGAACATGAATTCTTTGCCCGGCCAGATGTGTAGATGGTTGGGAGAGATCTGGAAGTCTCCTGTTTCTGGGTGTGGGGGTATGCGAAATTCACACCAAAGCGCGTCGATGTATTCTTGCTGATAGTCTACTCGGGCGAACTTCATCATATGATAGCGGGAGGCGGAGTGGGCACCGTCGGCGCCGATGAGGTAGTCGAAGGTGATTTCGATCTCGGTCACTGATTCCGGAGTGTAAGCGGTGCCCGGAGTGCGGCGTTCGAGCCAGGCACGGTTGGTGCGGAAGTCGGCGCCGGTGAGCTTGTGGTTGAAGAATATCTTGACGTTTGGCGTGCGCGACAGTTCATCCAGGAGGGCATTGTTGAGAGTGCCGCGGTCAACGGCATTGATGGCCTAAGGACAATGTTAGATGGATTTGTTGGAGAATGAGAGGGCTGAAGGCATACCCGGCCGTGGACGTCATAGGTTTGCGCAGCTTCCCAAAGCTTGCCGTCGCTTCGGCCATGAATCATACGTCCGTGCATGGGGATGGCGTCGGCGAGGACGCGCTTGATGAGCTCCTCTCGATTCGCCTGCCGCATGGCAGTGATTCCCCGCTCGGAGAGGGCGAGATTGATGGACTTGGTGAAATTCAGAGGAATTGTGTTTGGATCACGCAGATCTGTAAATCAACATGTAGTGTGAGAATGGCCCCATTCTTGATAGAGATCGAGTCATCAGGAAGATGCGGGGTCGATGATGATAGAGTCATCGCAGCCTGTCGGATGGCAAGGGAAGCAGGATATCCAGGATAACCTGGCAGCGTATAGCGACTAACCTCCGCGTAGTTCGTACATCTCAACATCGTCGCCTCTAGCTGCAGCGTAGAGAGCCGCCAGGGACCCCACCGGGCCAGCACCCACGATGACCACTTTCTGTCGTCCAGCAGACGGTTCCGCCATGTTGACCGGAGTCCGTGATCGAGAGTCTACCTGGACACTTGATGTGATTTGGGAGTCTTGGAGATGATCCCGAGTCTGCGTAGTATAAAGACCTGCAGATCGGCCGAGCTTAAACTGATATTGAAATGGCAACTGACAGCTGCGTCACACGCATTCCTTCTTTCTTCCATATGGCGGTGGGTCTGTGGAACATTTTTACGGCCAACAGGAGTTTGTTCTAGCCGCTCCCCGCCGATAAGCATCGGGACTGATTGACCAACGAGCATGTCCCATTGAGGACCCTTGACGCCGGTTACGCGCGCTTGTTGGCGCTTACTTAGGGTAAGACCGGATACACTAGTCCAGTTCAGGCTAAGGTCAAACAGCCCACACTAACCCAAAGCGGGAATGGAGTGCCTGGAATTGGCCGGGCGGATAAGCGCCACGCCACGCCAGGCCCATCCGCGGGGGATTGTCCCATTTTTTCCCTTCTAGCCCAACTTATATTCCTCCGGCGACCATTTTTCTCGATTCTTTCTTTCCTAGCGGTCATTTACCTGATTCTCTTACATTCGCGATATAGCTCGATCTCAAAATGGCGGAAGTCGCAACGCGGAAATGCATGGGGCTGGACTGTGACAAGAACGCAGGCACGTTGCAGTGTCCGACATGCCTCAAGGCGGGCACGGATAGCTTCTTCTGCTCGCAGGACTGTTTCAAACGGAGTTGGGTAGGCTACCTTACGTGACCCATCCGGCTCACGTGGGTTTGAACGTTTTTCGAGGTGATCTGCGAATGCTGACTGGTCCGATGCAGAGCGAACACAAGACTATTCACAAGAAGAGTAATTTCCTGGCCAACCTCTTCACTCCTAAAGTAGTTTCTGAACCAGATCCAGCAACCGGCTTGTACAACCCCTTCCCTGCCTTCCAGTTTGCCGGCAACCTGCGCCCTGTCTACCCGCTGTCGGCTCCGCGAACCGTCCCGAAGACCATCCCCCACCCCGACTACGCCAAGGATGGCATTCCTCGTTCCGAGCAGAAGTTCGTTGGCCGCAACAACATCAAGATCCTGAGTAAGGAGGAACAGGAGGGCATGCGCAAGGTGTGCCGTCTGGCCCGTGAGGTGCTGGATATTGCTGCCCGGGAGTTGAAGCCCGGTGTCACGACCGATTACATTGATGAGGTGGTTCACAAGGCTTGTATCGAGCGTGAAGTGAGTGCTTTTCCGGGCATATTGAGTTATGATGTTTAGTGGTGGTTTGGTTTGGTGCTGATGCGATTGACTACAGTCGTACCCCTCCCCCCTCAACTACTACAATTTCCCCAAGTCGGTTTGCACGTCAATCAACGAGATTATCTGCCACGGTATCCCCGACCAGCGACCCCTCGAGGACGGCGACATTGTCAACATTGACGTCACGCTGTACCACAACGGTTTCCACGGAGACATCAACGAGACCTACTATGTCGGTGACAAGGCCAAGGCCAACCCCGATGCGGTGCGCGTGGTTGAGACGGCGCGTGAGTGCTTGGACAAGTCCATTGAGCTGGTGAAGCCGGGCATGCTGTTCCGCGACCCTGGCAATGTGATCGAGAAGCACGCCAAGTCCCGGGACTGCAGTGTGGTCAAGAGCTACTGCGGTCACGGTATCAACCAGCTGTTCCACTGCGCTCCTAACGTTCCTCACTACGCGAAGAACAAGGCCGTTGGTGTTGCCAAGCCCGGTATGTGCTTCACCATCGAGCCCATGATCAACCAGGGTACCCACCGCGATCGTACCTGGCCCGATGACTGGACCAGCTCCACGGCCGACGGAGCCTTCTCCGCCCAGTTCGAGCATACACTTTTGGTTACGGAGGATGGTGTTGAGGTGCTGACGGCGCGCTTCCCCGACTCGCCCGGTGGGCCTGTGCCCATTCCGGCTGCTGCGGAAGCGTGAGTTTCAAGTACATTGCATGCAGATAGCGTAACGAGATAGAGCGTTTATGATTACGAGGGTTGGGTGTGATGCGTGCTGTATTGGCACTGTTTTGGGGTGTTCTTAGTGATTATTATGCCGCTGTCTTTGTTCGTCGTTGAAGATATCCTTAGTGTATAGGAGTGGACCATGACCTTATCCATGTTTGTGTATTTTGGTGTCTGGCATTGCGTTGTCGCAGTATAGTTTACTATCAGACCAGGATGAAGGTGGACCAAGCCAAACTACCAGCGAAATCATCACAGGAGAGCGTAGTTAGCATTACGTACGCGGCCGGATCGGAGAAGATAGCCTTAACGATAGAGTTGCGATTGCGATATCCGAGAAGAGACCATCGCCATCGGGGCGGGCGGACCCGTTTCCGTTTTGAGGAAGTCTCTCCCTTATCTGTATTTTTCTGACAACTCTCCTCGGATGAGTATGTATGGCCATGTCTAAATCGACATCCACAAGTGACACTTGCCTACGCGGCTCCAATTCTGTGTAACCATCGAGGATGATCCCTCAATGTCGTGCCTCGGCCGAGCGAGAGATGGCAGTTATGTTGCCGATAAAACCAATCAAGACGGTCTCTGACGGTATTTCCGCAAGTGGGGAAAAGATGCTTATCTCCACGTGACAATAGCGCAGGGGCCCATTATCCCAACTAGTGGAAGTCTAGTTAGTGAGTCCTTTAGTGAGCAGTTATTACTTATTCGCCCTTCTGCCTCTGACAATCGGTGACTCTTCCCTCGCTTCATTCTCCCCTCCTTCTTCTCCACCTTCTCGACTTTGTGTCGACTCCCTGGCCCCCTTGGTAATGGAGATTACCCTTCTCTAGAGTCATTCCCCCACTATGTCTCCAGAAAGGATTCCTTCCGAGACCTCCCCGTTGCTGGGTCCCCAAAGCAATGTCTCTACCACGGGGGCTATTCCCAACCTTGGCCGTCAGGATGTTGAGTCCGGCGAGCAGACTCTTCCGCCCCAGGAGGACCAGGCCAAAGATGCTTCCGAGGCCGGGAAGGGCCTAAGGTATATCATTCCGGCTATCTCTCTGGGAGTATGTGATTCCCCATCTATTTGCGCATAGGAGATTCCTCGGTAATACTAATGCCGCCCAGGTATTCCTCTCCGCAGCCGACCAAACCATCATTATGGCCAGTTATGGGCAGATTGGCAGTGACTTGGAGGCCCTCAACCTGACCAGCTGGATCGCCACCTCCTACTTTCTGACTTTGACCTCGTTTCAGCCGCTCTACGGCAAATTGAGTGATATCTTTGGTCGCAAAGCATGTCTCTTGTTCGCATATGCCATCTTCGGCATCGGTTGCTTGTTCTGCGGTCTTGCGCAGAACATCGATCAGCTCATCGCTGCACGCGTAGGTTGAACTGTTGTATTCTCTCTTCGAGACAGTAACTGACGATGGCCAGGTTTTCCAAGGTATTGGTGGCGGCGGTATGACCACCGTCGTGAGTATCCTGATGAGTGACATTGTTCCTCTCCGGGACCGGGGTGTTTGGCAGGGCGTGATCAATATCATCTATGCGACGGGCTCCGGCATAGGTGCCCCTCTAGGTACGCTCGATCAATGGCAACGATTGGAACTCTCTAACCGATTATGCAGGTGGTATCTTATCCGACTTTATCGGCTGGCGATGGTACGTTCCTTCAACCACTCTCGTTACGCACCCTCCTCTAACCTAACCCAGGGCCTTCATCGCTCAAGTCCCCCTGTGCATTCTCGCCTTCATCGCCGTGACTGTCATGCTCGACCTCCCCGCCCAGGAAGACAGCCACTGGAAGACGAAACTGCGCCGCATCGACTTTCCCGGCGCCATCGTCCTTGTCGGCGCAGTCTTCGGCTTCCTCCTCGGTCTGGACCGTGGCAGCAACGTCTCCTGGACAATGCCGATTACCATCGTTTCTCTGAGCGTCTCCACAGCTCTCTTCGCTCTCTTCATTGTTATAGAGGTCTTCTACGCCGCCGAACCATTCGCCCCCGGCCACATCATTTTCAACCGGACCTTCTTCGCCGCATACGCTTGTAACTTCTTCAGTTTCGGCGGCTGGCTCGCCGCCCTATTCTACATCCCTCTCTTCTTCCAAGCCGTCGACGGCGTCTCCGCCACCGTTGCCGGTCTTCGACTTCTCCCTAGCATCATCTCCGGCGTCAGTGGCTCCCTCTTCGCCGGCTACATCATGAAGTGGACGGGCAAATTCTACTGGCTCACCATTGCCGCATACACCGGCCTCACGATAGGCCTTACCACCATCTTCATGGCCTCTGGTGCAGTCACCGAGAACACCACCGTCCTAGTACTAGGCATGGTCGGTTGCGCCTTTGGAAACGGTATCGGTGTAACTTCTACCTTAATCAGTCTCAGTAAGCCTCTTCCTCGCTTCACTCCCCATCAGTTCCACAACCCGATTCTCTAACCTCATTCCAATAGTCTCCAACTCCACACCCGAAGACCAAGCCGTCGTGACAGCCTGCTCCTACCTTTTCCGCTCCCTCGGCTCCGTCATCGGCCTCTCCCTCTCCTCAACAGTCGTTCAGCAACTCCTCCGCGAACGCCTGCACTTTGCCCTCCGCGACAGCAAAGACATTGATAAGATTGTCGACGGTGTCCGTCAAAGTCTCGACTTCATTAAGACCCTGGATCCGACTACTGCGAAGATCGTTCGTAGCTGTTATGGCTGGGCCACGAACAAGGGCTTCGCATTCTTGGTTGGGGTTGTGTTTTGTGCGTTGATTAGCAGTTTCTTTATCAGAGAGAAGAAGTTGTCGCGGTAGGATATACATATATTTCGGGGTTGGACTCTGGCTGTTGGTGGTAAGGGGACTTGGGTAGATGATGATAGTTTGCGGGGATGCTTACTTGCATTGAGGAAGGGGGGCGTATACACTTGCATAGTGGCTGTATATGCCACTGTCGGATGGTTAAAAGACATGCTAGAGGTGGTACTACATATATGATGACTTAGATGGCATTATCTGGTCCGGTGATAAAAGGGTTGGATCTACTTAGTTGTGATCCATCGGATACGAAAATGGATTTGGGAAAAGGAAGCATTAGATCGTCTGATACTAGACTGATCATGGAGATTATCTTTTTTGTTGTACATATGCATGCATTCCCGGGTGTATCTATTAGTACTATAGTTTGGACAAAATTGATTTCATCAGATGCATATTAACGCAGCCCTTACTACTACCAATATTGACCGAGGCAGCAAGCAACCCAGAATTCAAGTGCCAGGCGTAGCATATGAGTTAGCAATTATGAGATACCCAAGTTCCCTCGATGAGATTAACTGGAAGTAACCCATCCCATGATCACAAGCTGCATTTTCATTCAGAAGAGTAGTCAACGTTGGGAAGAGAAGAGAGAAGAAGTGGTGTTGAGTCAGGTACAGAAGAAGGCGGTGATGGGACTTTGAATATTTTAAGCCTTGGATGGCTCCAGCTCCGCCAACTTTCCCCGGAACCCCAAACTGTCAGCCTCTCCAAGTCACACTGTCGCGGTTTGAGAGACAACAGCACCTGCAGCCCCCGAGAGTTCCACCGGCGACTCCCAGGGAAATCTCACAAGCATGATCCTATCGGCCTAACCGTCACATTTCTTTGTCGCCCGCCATGTCGGACACCCGCCCACGGCTGGCGCTGTCACGATATCGTCCCATTCTTTACCTGCTCTCCGGGGTAGCCGCCGCCTACGCGATCGTCTACATCCACAACTACATTTCCTCCTCTCCTCCGTCGCCTTCCCGAACTTCCCTCCGACGCCGCAGAGCCGTCCGTCGCCGGCGACGCAGAAGCGAAGCCAGCAACGCCAGTGATCATCCTATTGACGACACCCCGTCGACGCGAGCTATCGCGCACCTGGAACAACTGGAGCGCCAGAATGGAGTTTACGGAACATTTCGCATCGAGACAGAGGATGGAAGGCGCGTGGAAAGTGGCCTCCTCCCGTCCCTTCTCGCAACGCGGGACCAGCTCATGGAGGAAGTGGGGGTTCCCCAAGCTCATGCGGAGCGGATGCGCGAGATGATGGAAGACACATTTCTGGAATCTTTCTTGGCACTGGACTTTCCGCCCACACATTTCATACAAGAAGGTTGTCCGGAATGGGAATACTTGATGGTAGAGCTCCAGCGGCGGGGGATCTCGCAGGCCGGAATCGAGAGGGCCTTGATGCGATTCAATGCAGACAATAACTACGGGGAGGAGTTACGGCGGCGGAGACAGAACGGCGAGAGGGTCACGTTGTCGACATCGACCTTTCCCGAAGAGTCACCGCCGGCACCGAATATGGATGGTGGGGAGACGGTGGTGGATGATCAGAGTGTGTTTTCGTGGAGGGATGGAAATAACGATGCCTCGCCAACGAGAGAAGGGCAGAATCTGCTCAACTTGCTGTACCATATTGCTGAGGACCAGGCCAGACGGGACGGGTATATCCATCGCGGCGTGACTTGCAATAGCTGCGGAGCCATGCCCATTCAGGGTATTCGGTACAGATGCGCGAACTGCATCGACTACGATCTGTGTGAAACCTGCGAAGCCATGGGAGTGCACATCAAGACACACCTGTTCTATAAGGTCCGTATACCTGCCCCATTCCTGGGCAATCCTCGACAGTCTCAGCCGGTCTGGTACCCTGGGAAGCCTACCATGCTGCCGCGCAGCTTATCTCGGTCTTTGGCCAAGCGCCTCATGAAGGAGACGAGCTTCGAAAATACCGAGTTGGATGCGCTTTGGGACCAGTTCCGCTGCTTGGCCAACCATGAGTGGGAAGAAGATCCGAACAAGCTCTACATGGCCATCGATAGGAAGACGTTTGACCGGTGTTTCGTGCCGAACACATCCATCCGCCCACCGCCGCCTAGCCTGATCTACGACCGCATGTTTGCCTTCTATGATACCAACGGGGATGGTCTGATTGGATTCGAGGAGTTCTTGAAAGGAATTGCCAGCCTCAACAATAAGAGCAATGACGAGCGGCTACGGCGCGTATTCCGTGGCTACGACATTGATGGTGATGGCTACATCGAGCGGAAGGACTTCCTACGGGTTTTCCGGGCCTACTATGCGCTTAGTAGAGAGCTGACTCGAGACATGGTGGCAGGTATGGAGGACGACTTTCTCGAAGGCGGTGCTCGGGATGTTGTTCTGGGAAGTCAGCCGATCAGCTCGGCCTTTCCGGGCAGCATTCCCTCCGGGGAAGTCTCGAGGACCGGAGAGGGTAAGCGTATGAATCAAGACGGCGACATGGAGCTCGTGGACAACGAAGGGATCGTACGAGCAGACCGCGCGGATACCGCAGATCGACACTCGGTTGTGGGAGACGCTGCGGTGCGAAGCCAATACGGCAGCGTGCGACCCATGTTCCCAACTGCGGCCCGCCTGGCGACTCCATCCGGATCTGGCGTGGCTCATACTTCAGGAAGCAACACTAGAAGAGAAGTCAACGGTGACGATGGTAGTAATATCCCTGACGATGTCTCCAACTCTTCCGGTGCCAGTGACAGGTGGCCCCCGCCGGAGCATGTTCGAGACTACGATATCGTGAACGCCCTTGGATATCATGTGCCTTTGAACGATATCACTGACCCGGTCGATCGAGCCCGCGTTGGTACTGCGGTCTACAACAGAATGTGCGCTCAGGACCGACTCCGGGTTAACATGGCTCACAGCACGGGCATCCACAACCGCTGGCAGCGCAGACGGTTCTATACTGATGAGGAAGACGGCGCAACTGTTCCGCCCGGCTATCGCAGCGACATGGACGTGGATGGCCTGAGCGAGGATGAGGACGAAGATGATGTCGACGAGCCCCAGCCCGAGTCTCACCCCCCATCTCCCCGATCTCGCTCCTCCTCCAAGGTGCGGTTCCAAGATGATCTCACCGACGACTACGACGTGCGCTCCAACCCGTCAACCTCATCTCGCAGCATCCTGGTGGGTGAACGGTGGGGCGGGTTCGAGATTCCAGAGGTCGAAAGAGATGTCGGCAAAGAGATCCTGTATCAAGTCACCCAGCAAGGGTTCAACGAGCTGCTCGACCTCTTATTCAAGCCGAAAGAGGACCTCCTTATGGAGGCCTTCCGCACCCGGGCCGAGCGTAAGATGTGGGCGCGCGAAATCGAACAAGTCGAGCAGGCGGAATCCGGTACACAACTCGCACCGGAGCAAACCAACAACGAGCCGGACGAGCATCCAGAGTCATCGATGGTTAATCCATTCCGTGACCATTCCCTGGACGAACTGCTCAGCCGGGCAGGCTACTCCGTCCGCAGTCCACCTCTCGAGCCCGTCCAGGATGGCCCAGTTCTTCCCCCTCCCACCCCAGACCTGGGTGTCCCCAACGACGACGTTGTCTACCTCGGCGTTCCTGAAGTCGAAGAAGAAGGCGACGACGACGACGAAGAAGAAGCCATGCACCCACGATCCAGCCACGACTTCCTCCGCACCCTGGGAACAGAACACACACCCATGTCCCCCTCCTCTCACGCGTCCACCTTCGAAGAAGACGACGACGAAGTAGTCAACGACGACTACGAAGAATCATCCCGACCCCCATCCACCGCATCCTACTACGATCCCACCCTCCCACACCACCGACCCAACGAACCCGACGAGCCCTACCACAACCACCACGACGACTCCGACCTCATCCTCTCTAGCAGCACCAACAGTCCCGCCTTCCCACCCCAACAAAGCCACCACCTCCCCGCCGAACTCCGTCTCGAACCCACCGCTACAACCTCCTTCCCAGCCCCCACCTCCCCCTCCATCTCCTCCCCGGAAGCAGAAGCCACAGCTCCCAAACTCTCCCCCTCCCCTATCCACCCCCTACCCCTCTCGTCATCATCCTCTGCCCCTCCTCTCCCTAGACAGGCCAGTCCGCCACGGCCCCCATCCAAGGCTCGCATCGCCCATCTCGCTTACCTAGAGAAGGTCGAGCGAGAAGCCAAGGAACGCGGCGGCAGTGGCGCAAAGCTTAATTTCTCGGAGTTTGCGCAGCGGATGGCGATGGATCGCGGTCGTGCGTTGGCGTTTGTCGCGAGTTGGATTGAGATGGCTAGTTTTTAGGTGTTTACTTTTTTTTGTGGACGTAAGTAGTAATGGGTGGGTTTGTATATTAGGTTCATTGTGTGTGTGAGAGAGCATGATGGTATGGAAATAGTAGATTTCATGACTTGATTTAACTAATCATACTACCTACCTTTTCTTCTTCTATCTATTACTGTTATGTTATGTATCACGTTGTAGGACAATACGACCAAGAAGTGATATACGTCACGTTCAAAAACGCATCATCATATAGTCGATATAACCCATTTCATGCATACTATATCTATTACACAACACACAAAAACACCTATACAGAAAAAAAGAAACAGCGAACGAAACAACCCTAATCCCAATACTTAATCAACCCGTCCAACCCACCCGTAACAACCTTACTAGTTTCCTGCGGATGCCAATCGAGACAAGTAGTCGCGCCACCTTCCTTCCCACCAGCCAGGATCTTATGGTACATTTTACCCGTCTTCCAATCCCAGAAGCAGACATAGCCGCCACTATCACCGGACGCGATGAACTGTCCGTCAGGGGAGATCTTGATATCAATAGCGTAGCCGGCGTTATTGTGGCCGCGGAAACTCTTCTTCCGGTTCTGGCGGAATTTGTCTGTGGCGCCGTACACGACGATCTGGTTGTCGCCGGATTGGAAGGCGACGTATTTGCCGTTGGGGTGGGGGGTGGCGCGGGTGAGGGCGAACATGTATGGTTCGGCGATGAATTTGATGGGGACGGGGATACCGTATTCCCAGGCGCGGAGGGATTTGTCGTCGGAGGTGGAGATGAAGCGACGGTTGTCGTCGACGAAGGTGATGGTGTTGATGGCTGCCAGGTGGTGGTCGTATTCTTGGACCAGTTCGCCGGAGCGGGTATCGAATTGCACGATCTTCTTGTCGGACATACCGGCCAGGAATTCGTGGGAGTGTTCGGCGCCTGGGTTGAAGCGGATGACGTGGGGGGTCTTGCCGGTGCTGAAGCGGCCGAGACATTTGCCGTATTCGGTATCCCAGAGCTTGATTTGGCGGTCGTAGGAGGCTGTGAGGAAGGTGGTGCCGCTGGGGTGGAAGTCGGTGTCTGTGATGGCTTTTGAGTGGCCGGAGAAAGTGCGTAGCAGTTCGCGCGAGTGGTAGGCATCCCAGATCTTGGCTTTGCCGTCGGCGGCGGAGGAGAGGAGGAGGTGGCCGGAGCGGGGGAAGAAGCGGAGGGAGGTGATGGCCTTGGTGTGCGATTTCCAGGTATGGATGAGTTTCTTGGGGATGAAGTTCTTGACACTGCCGGGACCTTTGCGGAGGTCGATGTCCAGATCTTGAGGAATGTGCATGTACGTGCGGCCCAGGTAGTCGAACTGCTCTGTGCCGTGGAATTCGGTGGATTCGACCTTGGTCGTGTCGTCTTGGTAGTCGGTGGCTTCTTTGCTCATGGCGGGCATGGCTGACGGGGCCAGGTCCTCCTCTTCGTCGACCTCGACGTACTCCTCGTCGCTGGCGAGTTCGCGATCCTCGTCAGCGGCCTCCTCCTCGTAGAACTCCTCGCGTTGGTATTTCGCCCATGGGCCGAGGTAGGCACCTTCACCTTCAACGATGCTGGGGTCACCCTTCTTTTGCCGCTTCGCGCGCAGCGCTGCAGAGGCCTCCTTGGAGGGCTTCATCTGAATAACATCGCGGCCACCAAATTTGGCTGCGCTATCAAGATTGCCGACAAACTGGCCCGGGAGACCTGGGTTGCGCGTGTAGCCTAGACTCTGGAAGGTACGGTGTTGCGCGGCGAAGGTCGCCTCACTGATGGCTGCTTCTTCGGCGAATCCGGTCGGGACATTCTTGCGCTTGAGACCGTTTGCTAGTCCGGCAGGTTTGAAGGGGTTGACTGGGCCTTGAGACGGCCGCGAGAGATCATCGTAGGTTGCGTTGTAGGTCAGCGCAGTGGATGAGGTGTTAGCGAGCATCATCTGCATGTGAGCTTGATCCTGTAGGTTTGTTAGATACACCAGACATTCCGAATTGGGTAATCTTAGGGGATTCATTGCATAGCAGCGATCTCAAGAGAAACTGGGGGACCAAACCTCTGTGTTCACTTCTGGCGCCGCGACAATCGTGGTCGCTGAGGGCACCGTAGGTTGGGCTTGAGTGGGCTTCGCCGAGTCATCGTCGCTAGACTCGTAGCCGGCGCCGAGTAATGATGCCATGATTGCTGCGATGGCTGTGATTCAGGGAAGAATGAACTAATTGAACTTCCCCGATGCGGCGAGAAATGAAGTGGAAGCAAGCTTGGTTTCTACGATCGGCAGAAGTCCCACGCCCGACTTTTACGGAAGGCGGAAGCACCGCCCACGCAAGATTCTCCGGCGGACAACCAACCCTACTATCTACTACTACTATCTACATAGCTGTGCTTCTACAAGGAATCAAGATATCGTACGCGCTCATTGTCACACCGCTGAGGTATATACAGCACCATTATTGAAGACATTAACAGGAAATTAGCAACATCAGAAACCCAAGGAAAGTACACTAAGCAAACAAGAACAACTCAAGCAGCCTCTCCGGCGTGCTGCTCCCAGGCGATCGGATTACCTCATCTATCGCCCATCTCTCTTCCGCAAACCTAAAAAAACATCAAGATCTTGAGACCTCACGCGTTCGCTGTCATCAATGATATGCTTTCATAGTCACGTCATATACAAGGTCTCTTCTGCTGCACGCGCCGGCACACCGACGACAGTGTCAAGCAGCCGGGACGAGAGGCGCAAGTTGCGTCGGGATACAGCAGCGAGACCGATACTCGCAGAACCATGCTCCGTCCAATCTTCCCTAGCCAAAGGAGAAGTCAAGACAATCGCACTACATGACACTTCAGCCCGGGCGGCCGTTGCGCAGTGCGTGTTCCGTCTTGCCACGAAGTCAGTGAGATTCGTCGCGGATCAGGGCGACGATCATGCTGTAGAGATAGAAGAAGAACATCAAAAGGTGGAAGCCCAGCTTGATGAAAGATTCCTGCAAAGTGTGTCAGCGCTCGGTCCGCCTTCAATAGCGGGATTGAGATAATGCAGTCTAACCTTCTTGTGCACGTTCAGCTTGCGGAAGATCTCGGTCGCATCCAGGAGGTGCTGGTTCTCGTAGATCCTGTGGAAAGGGCGGTTGTGTTAGTTGGGCTACACCATGGCGGAGCTGGAAGGACAGCATTACTTCTTAGCGTTGAACGCCAACAGAGGCAGGTTCAGGACGATGGCGACCCAGTAGCCATTGATGATGAACAGGAAGGTCAGGAAGGCGTGAACGGCGGCCTCGGGCACAATGTAGGCGTTGAGGCGGTTGCACAGATCAATGGGGTTGATGTAGTCACTGCGGGAGCGAACCGGGATGGTTAGCTGGTTGGGTTCCATCACGCTGTCGCAATCCATGGCGAGCTCCCATGCGGCTCACAAGAGCCCGTCCACGCACACGACAGATACCGGCGAGACAATAGGGAGGATATAGACAAGAACATACCATTCCAGATCGCTGTACATGATAGTAAAGAAGACCTGCAGGAACAGGTTGACGGCGTTAATCAACACCGCCAACAGATAGAGCCAGGCTTCACCGGACATGGTGGGCAAGATGGAAAAGAGATGCTCGAAAGACTCGAAAAGGGTGCTAACAGGAAGACAAGGGGGAGGAGAGGAGCGGAGAGGTAGCCGTACTCGGGGGCAGGGAGATAGAACAGGAGGAAACAGAGGCGAAGGGGTGCAAGGTGAGAACTGAAGACGAAGGAAGTTGGACTTGATTGTGGATTCGAACCGATGGGGGAAAGCCGCGATTGGAGCTGGCAGGCGGTGAGGCTCTTCCGGGGGAGTGACCCGCGATCTGCTGTCAAGTCCGTGGAGTTGGTTACTGGTGACTTTTACTTCCAATCTCGATTCATTATTACGACTTACTACTGTCTATCTGACGCTGAAAATCAGGGCCATAGCCCCAGTGTGCGCGAGAAAAGCAATTATGGCCATGACCGCGGACTATGCGCCTGTTCATGCTCAGCCGCTATCGGATACTAGTAATCGCGGCATCGGCCACTATTGCCAATCACCACCACTGCAGTCTCGATTACGAAAGTTTTTGCTGCAGAGCTTAGCAAGCGTATGATATCATTAATGCAAAGGTCTACCAGAATATGAAGGCTCAACCACTTAATAAACACTTGTCAAAATGGCGGTATGGGCACACATAGCATAGCATAACATTTCTGCCATCATAAACACATGTCGATGACGTGGGGAAACACGTGCTTCCATCCGCATCTGGCGGCTTCTACTGGCCAGCCCGCATGTCCGCATTATAGCATCACCATCACCAAGTATATGCAGTAGAAGCACCTTCAATAATTGACCTCTATTTACATAGATATAACCCATCATTAGCTAGCTAACGGTGCAATGGAGATCCGTGGCAAGAACAGGACTAAAAAGCAGAAATAGGAAGAAGACGTCGTATCAGAATGCTCATCACGGAGTCAATACCAGTACACAAAAACAACCATAGCCCGTGGGCTGCATAATAAAACAAGATCAAGTGTGTCGGCATAGATGATTGCCGGCACCTTTATCAGACTATCACCGCTTCTCAACTAGCAGAATATGCATCGCGCCATATGCGATTACGATGAATGCACCCGAGATGACGGCCAGTCCAATGACATCGGTCCACAGAGCTTGGGTATCAAATCCAAAAGCGCTCAGGATGGATGCACCGGGAACTTCAATGTCGAGGCCGTATTTATGATCAATCAAGGTCAGATACGTTACTTCATTGACGATCAGAGCCTCGAAGCCGTAGTGGAAGATGGAAAGCTATCAAGAGTCAGTAACTTGCACAAAACCTCTATGAATACAGCAACAAAAGGTTCGTGGATACTCACAGTTTGCAGCCACAATGCAGACTTGGGAATGGCGTCGTGGTTGAGCAGGAGACCAGCGAAGAGCAGACTGAACAGCATCACCAAGCTCCCAATCAGATTGGCCACGCCTCCATCCCGGAAGATGATACCGATGAACAAGCAAATATTGGCGGCCGCTAGATTGAAGAGAACAAGTACCAAGATGAAACGGAAGAATTCGCCCCAAGCCGGGATCAAGCCAGTCATGGGATACACAATGATACCCATGATAATAGGAGGGAGAAGGCGAAGGGGCACAATGTCAAACACCACCTTGGCCGCAAAGTAGGTTATCGGGTGGTAGTAGCCATTAGCTCGCTCGCGTACAAATAGAAGCCGCTCCCCGGAGAACACCGTTAGACTGGTAAGCGTGCTAAATCCAAACAATGCGAGAATGAAGAAGAAAAGACCCAACCGATTCTGGAAGCCCTTGATGTCGTCGGTCAAGCCGTAGAAGAGGTAACCGCACAGAACAGCGAGCAGGATAGAAATGGCATAATGCGTGAGCATCAACATAGGATTCCGATACAAGTTACGCCAGGTCCGTTGTGACAGGATCAGAAATTGTCGCAAGAGGCCAATGCGAGCGTATGTCTTGCCGGTTCCAGTAGGAGCTGACATCAGCTCGGGGTTGGTATACCCGTTCGCCACGCGTGCATGCTGTATGGCCGCTACGATCTCATCATGCACGGAGCGTGCGATGTCCGATGCCGCATAGTTTGCAACCAAAATGTCAAGGTCTGTCTGTCCGGGGGCCGCTGGGGGTATCTGATCAGGGTCATCCATGATTTGAGATGGAGCGGTGCCTGTTTGACGAGAAAGACGCAGCCATTGCTGGTTTTCCTCGGCGGCATCATCCAAAGGCTCGTCTTCTTCATCGGTTTTCGGGGTAGGGGGAGCTTCTGGGTCCTTCTTGCGCGAGTAGAGCTGTCTGTCCTGTTTCTGTTTGAGGGAGACGCGCCGCTTACTCTTCGGTCGTCTGTTCGCATCGAAAGTACTGCTGCTATCCTCGAAGCTCGCGTTGGATGCACTAGCCACAGATTTGACAGCTCGTAGGCTGCTTGACGCCGTCTTAGGGGGGTCGACACGCACATCTAGTAAGGGGGAGTTGATCTCGTCGCTGTGAGAGCGGGTCACGCTAGCGTGCATCGTGAGGTCGACAAGATAGTCAGCAATGTTGAAGCCTGGTGGGCAAGAGTAACCTGAATGGTCGAAGTATCTTTGGCAAGTGGAGAAGGGTCCGGAATAGACGGTCTTTCCTTTAGCTAGGAGAATTAGTCGGTCAAACAAAGCAACAATGTTGGAGCGCGGTTGGTGAATAGTGAAGATGACAGTGCGATTGTATGTTTTTGCCAATGTCACCAAGCACTCAATCACATTGAATGCGTTGTATGCGTCCTATGTAGCTAGTCAGAAAAGCACAGTGTTAGTTGGGCTGATGCATCTTACCAATCCACTTGTAGGCTCATCCAAGAAAAGAATACTCGGGCTAGTAACCAACTCGCATGCGATGCCAACTCGGCGCTTCTCACCACCCGAAATGCCCCGACCTCTGCCTTCCTCAGATCCGATCAATTGATCCTTGATATGGGATATCCCAAGTTGCCTTTCAACTTCAAACACGCGCTGCTCCTTCGCAGCCCTGCTCATGTCTCGCGGCAATCGGAGCAACGCACTTGTCAAGATAGTCTCGTGCACAGTCAGGGTGGGGAGCATAGTATCTTCCTGATCGACAAAGCCAATCATACTCTTGAAGTCATGGTCACTGATCTTCTCCCCATTGACATAGAAATCGCCACGGACAGTACCCCGCTTGTTCTTCCGAGCAAGAATGTCAAGGAAGGTCGTCTTTCCTGCACCCGAGGCGCCCATGATGGCTGTGATCTGACCAGGCTGAGAAGAACCCTGAATGCCACTTAGAATTTCCTTTCCGTTCAAGTAGTACGAGACACCGTCCCAATACAAGGCCGCTGGTTTGTGTTCTGCCAGGAGCTTGGCCGCTTCGTCGTCCTCGTCGTCCGAAAGGGGCAGCTGAATGCGACCAAAATAAGACCTGCGTGAAAGATACCATACAGACAGAATGACAGCAACGACGAAGAGGGCACATCCCGCGATGACGCCGGCGATAAGAGGGGTGTTGATCTGTTTGACCGGGCGCGTGTAGCCAGGAACATCTGTCCGATACAGACACTCGCCAGCATTGCAATTCAGAGTAATACTCTTGTCGCCAAAAACAGCTTTAATCAACTCGTCCATAGCTGGCTCCTGGAACGTGCTACCATCTTCCGGACTGCCACCCTCAGTGGAGATCGAGGAGAACGTAGCAGGTCCCGCGATTGACTCCCGGAGAAAGTCGCCGATATCGATAGATCCTTCCTCGCCACAAAGCATGCGTCCTGGGATACACTCGCAGTTGATGTTTTCGCACGTGTAGTGGGTTTTGTTCTGACTATGAGTAGTCTCCAAGCCCCATTGGCACTTATCCAATCCACAATAGAACGATTCTACCCGGCCCACCCAGAACTGAAAGTTGCAAGTCTGGTCTTCGGCCTCGCAAGAGAACGTCACCTGTGGCTTGCGCTCCTTGAGCTGATCAAGGATCTTGCGATTGGTCACGTCACACATCTGAAAGTTCTCTTTGACGGTAACACCCTGTTTATAGCAAACACCCCCTTCACCTTCTGGCATCATCGCATTGCATGCATCATCCGTTTGGCACACGTTGCAGTTGATTCCTTCCCAGCCATCTTCGCACGAGCACTGGTCGCCCTGCCGGGGGGACCTCTGATGGCCATCGGCCAGCGACCCACACAGAGGCTGCGCGCAGTCATCGCCACCAAACCCTGGTGGACAGACACATTTCCCGGTAAATTTATCGCAGTCAGCAAACTGGGCGCATTGGAATGCGTCTAGTTGGCAGTTGAAGCACGGCGGGCAACCGTCTGGACGATCGTCGAGTGCGGAGAAGAGCGGAGATACGAGGGCGGCCTCGGAGTAGTTGCTCCGTGCTGCGACCGTAGAGGCCGAGAGTGAGAGGGAGAGGGCGAGGGATAGCTGGAGTGACGATGGCAGCCGCATGCTGGCTCCAAAGTGCGAGAGCTGCCTTTGCACTTGAGTTAGTAGGTAGCTGGCAAGCTGATGGGCTGTCGGACCGAGAGACCGGGTGCGGAGTAAGCAGCGACGACAATGAACGCCTGAGAATCACAATAAAGGATAGCACATCTGGATACAATCTAAAGGACTGTAAGGCTTCCCTGACAGGTTCAGGAAAACAGAATATCCACCAACGTGATTGCACCGACAGAAACCACAACCAGAGAGCCACGAAAGGAGCGGTAAAGGTGGGTGGGAAGAGGAGAGGCTGGATGGGGAAACCGGTTGAGGCGATGACGAGGGCGGAGAAGCGCTAATCTGTGGCCTGACAGCCTGGGGCACCCACCCAATGATAGCCCGGCGCGATGTGGTATTATCGGGTACCTACCGCGACCTACGTTGCTTCAAAGTAACTACGGCATATATTGGTCTACTGTGGATCATACTGTCACCTACAGGGCGCGGTGGATATCAGTAGGATGGCCTCGAATATATTCCGATGGTTCATGTTGACGGCAACAGTAAATTAACCGGTCATTTGCTGGATTTGCCTGGCTTCATCCACTTTCTCCTCCGTTTCACCCAATCGGGAAACCCCATATTCAACTCTCACGTGACTCGGTACCTGAATTTCCACGAGATATAAAGGAAAAGCATTCCGACTCATTGAGTCATTGTTGAGAAAGGACCGTATTGTTGTTAGAAGTAAACAAGTGTCTATCCTCAAAAAGCCTTCGCGATGGTTCACATCAAAGAGTTCGCCGTGGAACAAGTATGACCCCTCCTCAACCGGACAACCCCGCATATTTTAAGTAGATGAAGCTAACCGTGCTACTCTGTACAAGTGGATGGACAAATATGAAACCACAGCCAAATACAATGTGGCAGAAACATGCTGTGCGTCAATCTCATTTAATGATCTTCGGGAGCTGTCGGAGGACAAGTCCGACCCATTGGATTTGAGCATTAAGCTCACCTACGGAGCTATTCGTGGGTCAGAACGACTCCGGGGAAACCTGGCAAGGCTGTACTCGGATCAAACACCCTTGCCATCGGACAATGTCTTGATCACTGCTGGCGCCATCCAAGCCAATTTTCTCCTGCTCTATACTCTGGTTGGGCCCGGCGACCATGTGATCTGCCATTATCCCACATACCAGCAGCTCTACTCAGTCCCGGAATCGCTCGGGGCTGAGGTGAGTCTGTGGAAGGCGAAAGAGGCAGACAACTGGAGGCTGGATATCAATGAACTAAAGAGCCTTATCCGTCCGAATACCAAAATGATTATCCTCAAGTGAGTAAACCCCTCGAATTCCACTGACCGGCTTCTCTGATCAAGATATGTCACCGTACAGTAACCCTCAAAATCCTACCGGAGCGGTGATACCCCAGGAGACATTGAAGGATATCGTTGAAATAGCTCGAAGCTCGTCCATTATTGTCCATGCCGATGAGGTTTACCGCCCGCTGTATCACTCTGTCGAGGAAGGCCAAGCCCCGCCATCGCTCCTGTCTCTAGGATACGAGCATACCGTGGTGACCGGCTCCATGTCCAAGGCATATAGCTTGGCAGGACTCCGTGTTGGATGGATTGCATCTCGCGACCGCTCAATCATTGAGGCCTGCGCCAGCGCCAGGGACTACACAACCATTTCCGTCGGCCAGCTGGATGATGCTATTGCCAGTTACGCGTTAGCCCCCGCGTGTGAGCCCAACCTCATTAAGCGGAACCTTGACTTGGCCCGCCGGAATTTGGCAATCTTGGAGAAATTCATCGAGTCACATCGGTGGGCATGTGACTGGGTTAAGCCGCGAGCAGGTACAACGGCATTTGTGCGTTTTAACAACCAAGGCCATCCAGTGGACGATGTAGCCTTCTGTGAACAACTGCAGGCCAAGATTGGGGTGATGTTTGTCCCTGGAAGCTCATGTTTTGGGGAAGGAGAGGATTATGAGGGATATGTTCGGATTGGGTATGTGTGTGAGACGGAGGTGTTGGAACAAGCCATGGAGGCGTTGCGATCATTCATGGACGGGGAATATAGGAACGTGCCGGTGAGGAGACGGACTTAAGAAATCTGCTGAGTAAGTTAGAGAATAAATTCAATAGTTAGCCAAGCCAATGCTGCATGTAGCATGTAGCATGCATTGACCGGAGAAAGGTGAAATCAGGTACAACCCGTGCATCAATCAGCCCGTGCATCAACCCGAACATCAAAGTTACTTAATCAATAAGTCCGGCCATAGTTATTGCTTTTAGTGTAGTAGCGATGGATGGAATTAGCCCCAACGAAGGCTTATTTTCGGTTATTCCCACACTCTCCACGGACCCATTGGCCGGTTCAGCCACCAGCCAACTTGGCGAGTCTCCACCTGATCAACTGGTTTCTTGTTGGACCATTGAATAACAATAATTCCAGGTTAGTGGAGACTGTGACCAGCTTCATTTGATGCACAACCCATCATTAGCGCTTGTTCCGTCCAGCCGAGGTAACTCTGTTCACCCGCTCCTCTCCACGTAACGACATACTTAACTAGTACTTAAATAGTGAATTGAATGACAAGGATCTTGTTGGCTCAGCCTCATGGCTGTCAACTAAAAGCTCCATCGATGCCAACTCGTGCTCCAACAGTTCCTTTGTTCCTCTGCTAGTATTTAATACCCCGCGCGCATCCTCATTTCCGGCTCATTTGCTCGTCTCCGTGCTTCCCTTCCTTTTCCCTTTCCTTCCGGTGACCACCAACGGGCAGACCATATCAGTGTGCCGCTTCTTCCGAACCATCCAACATAAACAGTTGAAATAACTCCCAGAATGTCTGCGATACCTGGTCTGTGAGCTCCCTACCATAATTATATATTAAGTATAGCTAGCATTCCGGTACTGACTAGATGATCTACCAGATCTCCCCGTCCCTCTCCCGATCGTCGGTTCGGCGCTGGTAGCCACGCTTGCATATCTAAATGCCAAATTCTCTCTATTCCAAGACAAACATTCAATCTCCTCCATGCTCAGTATAGCTAGTAACTCCAAGTCCTCTGAGCGAACCGATCGGGTCAATTTCTTCTATGTTCTGGAGCAGCATGCCCGCGATCCGAAAACCAAGGATCGGCCGTTCATCGTCTACAATGGACAGAGCTGGACATATCACGAAACGTACGTGCTGGCGCTGCGCTATGGCACCTGGTTCAAGCAGGTTCACGGAGTCAAGTCCCGGGAAGTCGTCGCCATGGATTTCATGAACTCCTCGACGTTCGTCTTTATCTGGATGGGTCTCTGGAGTATTGGCGCTGCGCCCGCCTTTATCAATTACAATCTGACAGGGCAGCCTTTGACACATTCGGTTCGGGCCTCAAGCGCACGACTGCTGCTCGTTGAGGAGGAACTTCGCCAGAAATTCACGCCCGAACAACTAGAGCTGTTTGCTTCTCCTGACTTCCGAGACGGAGGTGATTCGGTCAATCTGGTCTTCTTCACCCCAGAAGTCGAGGCTCAGATCCTCGGAATGGAGCCTACGCGGGAGGACGACACAGCTCGGAGCGGCACTCAGCTGCGCGACATGGCCACGCTGATCTACACCAGTGGAACTACCGGCCTGCCCAAGCCCGCGATTCTCCCTTGGAGGAAGGTCTGGGCTGGTGCTGTAATGACCAATACCTGGCTGAAGATGACCAAGGACGACCGGATGTTCACGGTACGCTTCTTTGATACTCCTGTACTGTCTCTCAAACTCACTAATTTCATCATAGTGCATGCCTCTCTATCACTCATCCGCAGCCATCCTCGGTCTCATGCCATGTTTGTGGACAGGATCGGCTTTGATCATCGGTCGCAAGTTCTCTGCTCGCAGCTTCATGCGGGAAGCCGGGGAGAACGATGCAACTATCGTGCAATACGTGGGTGAAACCATGAGATACCTCTTGGCAGTGCCGCCCGCCATCGATCCTGTCACCGGGGAAAACCTAGACAAGAAGCATATGATTCGCCTAGCTCTAGGCAACGGCCTGCGTCCAGATATTTGGAACCGGGTGAAGGAACGGTTCAATATCCCTACAATTGCCGAGTTCTATGCCTCTACCGAAGGCCCAGGCGGCTTGTTCAATATCTCCTCAAACGACTTTACTGCGGGTGCAATTGGCCGTAGCGGCTTTCTCACCAGTATGATCATCGGTCGCAGTGTCGCTATTGTTGAAGTTGACCAAGAAACCCAACAACCCTGGCGCGACCCCAAGTCCGGTTTCTGCAAGAAGGTCCCGCGGGGCGATCCGGGCGAGTTGCTATATGCACTCAACCCGCAGGACCCCGGAGAGAACTTCGTCGGTTATTACAAGAACAACAAAGCCACGGACGGCAAGATACTTCGCGACGTGTTTCGCAAAGGTGACGCCTACTACCGATCCGGAGACTTGATCCGATGGGACAAAGACGGTCGGTGGTACTTCTCCGACCGTCTAGGTGACACCTTCCGCTGGAAGAGCGAGAACGTGTCCACCAGCGAGGTGGCCGAGGTGCTGGGCGTGCATCCGGAAGTGCACGAAGCCAACGTCTACGGAGTGGCGTTGCCAAACCATGACGGTCGTGCTGGCTGCGCCGCCATTGTTCTTCAGCAACAGACACGCTCCGAGGACCAGACTGTGGTTCTGCCTCCATCTGAAGAGAGTCTGAACAGTCTGGCTGCGCATGTGGTGAAGAATCTTCCGCGGTTTGCTGCTCCACAGTTTCTCCGAATCACGGCTGAGATGCAGGCTACGGGAAATAACAAGCAGCAGAAGCATACTCTTCGGACACAAGGTGTGGATCCTGCGCTGGTTCCGGCGAGTGACCGGATGTACTGGCTCCAGGGGAACCAGTATGTGCCGTTTGAGTCGAAGGATTGGGACCGACTACAGGCTGGGCAGGCCAAGCTGTGAGCTGGTCCAGTTAGTGTTTTCTGGATACTAGTAAATACAGGGACATGTAGATAGTGTAGTAGGTTTTCATTCAATCAATTGGTAAAATAATCCCATTGACGCTGATTAATGGGTAACCCTTACAGTGTATCGATCCCGAGGACGAGAACATAAATGGAAACAGACAAATTTGATCATTTTAAGCCTATAAGACAATACATCACACATAATACCGGAAAGTCCTTCGTAGTTAATTAATCAACATAATTCAAAGACCACTTTCTTCCACCTGATCCTTGAACGATTTCAAGAGCTTCGCGGCCGCCATATGCCCATTTTTCTCAGCCAATTCCACAGCACGCCGATATTGCCGTTCACCATCATTGCCTACCAGCGATGCTCCTTCGTCAAGAAGTAGCCGAAGTATGTCAATTCGCCCGTGCTCTGCTGCTCCCTCCAAGGCTGTTCTGCCATTGCGTCGTGCAGGAGCAGCATTAACGTCTGCGTCTAGGTCGATGAGCTTGCGAGCGATTCCCAGGTAGCCTTGAATGGCAGCAATTTGCAACGCGGTAGCTCCGCCATCCTCTGATGGTGTACTGTTGACATTGGCTCCGTGGTCAAGGAGGAAGTTGATTAGGTCCATGTTTCCGTTGTTGACCGCATGTTGTAGCGCCGTGCGTCTACCCGCGCCCTCCCCTAGGTAGTCAATATTGGTTTGCGGGTTTTTGACTAAACATTGAACTATTGATACCAACTGGTTCTTGACTGCAGCCTGTAGAGGTGTGAGAATCTCACACCATCCTGGTATTTCCTCATCATCCTCATTCACCGTGTCGTGGTAGTAAATTTTAAACTCTTGATTCATGTCCTCCACCTGCTGCAGGATATCATCTATTAGCCCAGTGCGTTGACAAATAACAGCCATAGTCAATGCACGGCCGATAGTCCGTTTGTCCCAGATACAATATTGGAGAAGAATTTGAAGAGATGATCTATCATCCACCTGTGTCGCCAATTCAAGGACTGATTGCGGGTCCTCGGGTAAAAAGTCGAGATCAGCGTCTTCGTACCAATTGTCGTAGAAGGCTTGCGGTGTTCCTGTTGGTTCGATGCCTGCATTGAGTATCAGTTCTATAGCCTCTTTTTTGCCCGTTACGATCGCACATCCGATCGCGGTGGGAGCTCTCCCAAGGAAACCGGCCAAAAGGCGACTCAGCAGATCAAAGTCACCAAGACCCACCGCTGTAGCAAGGTCACGGTCGGTCACTTTGGCGCCACGTGCCATGATGCTCTCCACGAAGGAAAGTGATCCTGCTTCAATTGCGGCTTGCAACGGCGTTTCTGAAAGTCCGGAAGAATCAAGCATAGTGGGATGTCCGTCGAAATTAATACGATATGCAAGTAGCCACTGCGCCAGTTCAGGCTTTTTAGCGGAGATTGCACGGGCCAGAATTCTCCCTCCACATACTTCGAGGATATCGTTCAGTACACCCCTTTCTTGTAGATACACTGCGAGTTGCAAGTTTCCGATTCCTCGGAGCTTTGGCCCAATTAATGTAGCCCCGGCGGACTCCAGCATGCGAATAAGCATTAGATCTCCCTTTTCAATGGCTGCTGCAAGCACTGTTCCAGGCGCATCACTGTAGACTTCATTTAACGGTGCACCTGCTTGGACTAGCTTATAAACAATGTCGCTATAACCGTTCTGGACGGCAAGGAGGAGAGCTGAAGAGTTCTGCTGTTTATCTGAATAGGGCATGTGTGTCTGAGCGTCACACTCTATCAGAAATCTGCTCATCTCCGCGTCTTTCCTCTTGATAGCACGTTCAAGGGGTGATAGCCCCCAGCCCTCAGATGCAGTTTGGATGCCAACACCCGCTCGAAGTAATAACCGGGCTATTTCTATATCACCAGCCTCAATAGCTAGGGTAAGAGGTGAAACATAAGGCAGCCCATCTAGTCTGGGATCGACGTAGACACAAGACTGGAGCATTACCTGAATAACCTGCAAATTCTTTCTTCGGGCTGCAAGCCCTAGGACTGTGGTCACACCAAAGTCTTGGTCGAAATCAATACTCAACAATGCATTTATATCTGCCCCTCTAGAAAGAAGGAGTTTGACCGTCGTAAGATTGCCACACGCCACTGCCCGCGCCAAGGGACTAGGATCCTGCCATCCGCTTCGTGCATTCACGTCGGTAACTCGATCTACTATCTCGATGAAGAGGCTCAAATCGCCCATCTCTGCGGCAGTTGCGAGACATGATGGCGTGACAATTGCATTATGGGACAGTAATAGCCTGGTTGTCTCAGAATTCTTGCATTGAAGTGCATAATAAAGGGGAGGACAGTCGTTGTAAGATAAGTTGATATCGGCCCCGTGAGACACAAAAAGTTCGACGGTCTCAATGCCATAATCACTGTTCGTCATATGAGCAGCAAGTTGTAAACATGTAAGAGGACCGTCGTCAAATGTGTCGACCCGACTATCCGGGTCCATTCCAGCCTCCAACATCATTTTCACAGTGTCCAGATCCAAGAGTCGCAGTGCACTGGCAAACAGTTTCTCTGCTATGGCCTCTGCGGTGGGCTCTCGAGTTGATAACAAGATCTCAATGTGCTTTTTATTCTTCCAGCCAGACGCGTGGAACAATTTCATCACATTCTGGTCATGGGCAGCCATAGTTCTTTTGGATTTGCCAGTTGGACCGTGGGAGACGAAGTTGTTAGACAACAAGAATAGTTCTAAGTTAAGACTCTCTGTTGTCGTTCGTGGAGTGTTGCACAGCCTTGTGGCGAGGGTACGATGCTGGCCATTGAACTCTTCCGGCATCAAAATACTAAGTCCAGTCACTATACGGGAAAAGCTATTGATATTTGGTGGATGGGACAGCGTCTTCCAAGGAATTATCGAGCCTAGTCGTTGCATCAAGTCTCGATTGATGTTGTTTATCAAAGCACCAGGGGATTGTGGCGATGTCACAGTCAGGGCGGACGGTAGCGACGGCAGATCTATACAACCGTTCAGATCAGTTTTGAAGAAGAGGAGTGGAAATAGCCCCAGGAACATACTATCGTCTCGTCCAGGCTTGAGCAGCTTGGCAAATTGCGACCATGGAAGGGAGTGATTCCAAATCAGCCGCATACCCGGCGTTGCAGGAGTACAGACAACAATTCCTTCTGGAGTACTGGGAGAAGGAGCTAAGACTCTATTAGCTCCCTGGGATTCATGTGAGCAAAATGATATGGGAACAGGCTGAACAGACCATTTGGAAGGTTATCCACCGTCGAAACAAAGGTCTTATTGTATCGAGACTTTTTCAGCTTGCTGGGAGGGTATTGAACCCCGTCGACATACACTTCGCTCTCTTTCTGGTGTTCCCTCTTTCTCTTGTCGATTCGCCGCCCGATGAACTTGCCCTCCGCTGAGGTCAGAGAATGATTTTTTCGCAGGCCCCATCGCTTGAAGTATTTTTCGTACTGTGACTTTCTATTTGGATATGAGATTCTCTGTGTCTGTAGGTGCAGTAGGGTAAGATTGTACTGACCTTTCATCGAACCCGTACTTAGTTCGCATATACTCCCTGACTTCGCTTAATTTCTGGCCTTCATGGATATAGAGACGCTCCAGTTCGGGCCGGTAAGACTCCCAGATGGCGTCAGCCATGCTTGGATGTTGTGGACTTGTGCCTGAGAGGTAGAAGGAAAAGCGTTCTTTCCGGTGGGAGTCAGCCTGGTACTTATAGGGGAGTGAATGGCGAGGTGCACATCAGCCTAGTCCACCCAAAAGGGACCAAGTACATGTAGAACCACTAGAGCAGTAAGCCTGACGAATCAAGGCGTGGGCGGGAAGGTACATTCCCTGCCAGTTTCCTTCCTTCTATTGGCGGTTTCCAGAATCTCGATGCACCTTCTTTAGCCCTGCCAGGGGGCTGCACGAATAGAAAATCGACGCTGGTGGAGCGCAGCCATGTTTAGCGTCTTGCCTGATTATCGCCCTCTGGGATTGGTCTTGTCCAAAATCTTGGGATGATAAACCGTGTGCCGTCACTGAGATCCCGGATGATCGAATGCATCAACAAGTGCCAGCCTAAGCCCATCTATACAGAAACACACAGCACGAAGGCCCCTTTCTAGTATATAAAAGGGCACCTTCTCTAGTAATGACCTCTGGCCAAATCCAAACACCAAAGCACTCATTGAAACCTGAATCATCTCTTTCACCATTACCATTGCCCATCCGAGTTCATCATGGAGTGGCCGACCAGTTCTTTCCCAGGGTCCCAAGAGGAGAGTACTCATCCAGACCGCTTCCCCATCGGTCAATTCCTCTTTCCCCAGTCATCAGCCGCTCCAGTGTCCCGGCCAGACTCCTACATCTTTGCAAATCACCCCCTATGGAGCCTTTACCTCGATTGCTGGTCCACCCCGTAGTATTGAACCTCGTGTTTGCACAGTCAATCCGACGGGGGACGGAAACATTCCACCACAAGGCGGCGGTGTGGCGCAGACTGCCCAAGCGCCTTTTGCCTATGATGAAATCCCTGCCGAGTCACTTGATTTGTTGTATGCTTCCACTCGTATCACTGGTGGTCAGCCCCTGCGACTACCAGTAGACTGGACGGATACCAATGCAGACACGAACCCAACCTGGCTTGCCCCCAATAGCGCCATGAGCCACCAGCCACACCCAGCTCCGGGAAGGTATGCGGCCCGCTTCATCTACTACTATCAACATGGCGTATTTAACAGTACAATATTAATGCAGTAGAATCCCCCGTGCCCCATCTAATGCTCATAGCCCACCAATCTTTGAGTGCAAATGGCGAGGCTGTTCCAGCTCCACACGGTTCAGCACTGAAGGGGACCTTGTCCGCCATCTTAAATCGATTCATATCTCCCCAGATGCAGCGTACCTTCCCGATTAGGAGATAACAAAGATACTTCTACTATCTTCCATTAGATAGCTCTAGAGAAGACATAATCAACTATCTACTTCTGCTTAAAAAAAATCCTTTTTTATATTTATTATATAAACTTAGATTAATTACTCTAGTATAGAGCAACATAGTAGCATATCCTAATATTTTTTAAAGTATTTTTATTTTTCTTATATAACAAACCACAGTCCACAGAATATACAGAAAAAATATTTTCTTTAACTAGTAGTATCTAAGCTCAAGAACAGCTATACTTTTTTAAATTATAATATCTAAATAAAGTTTACTTTCTACCTGGCATTGCGCCTACATAATAATAATAAAAAATATAAAAAGAAGATTTATATTATTTCTAAGAAAACTAAGTTTACTGTCCTTAAAAACTACAAGATCAATAGTAATAGTAAGATTAAGTATTTCTACTATAAGTATCTTTACTACAAGTACTGTCAAGCATCTTTACTATAAATACTATTAAGTATTTTCACTGTAAGTATTATTAAGTATTTTTACTATAAGTATAGTACTGGTATTCTCTTCTTTATAATTACTAAATATAATTATTAATATAGCAGAAAAGTGCCGCCTCATCTATATCTTTAATAAATCTGAATAAAAAGAATTATCTTAATTAATAATTTTCTTATAAATATCAAATTTATATCTTATAATTATAAAAATATATTATTTTATTTTTTATTATACATCTAATTATTTTTTTTAAAAAAAATATTTATTATTAAATACCAGCTGAACATTCTATAAAAAGCAGAATTTTTTTAATCTAATTCTTAATTATTATTATATACTTTAAAAGTTATATTATCAAATATCACCTTATTAAACTTAATTTATTAAATTTAAATTCTTATGATTATAACTCTCAAGAATAGAATAATTATTAATAATAATATTATATCTTATATACTAAAAAAAATAATAATAAATATTATAAATTTATATAAAACTATTCCTAGTCTTTCTAATACTAGAAAAATCTGTAATAAGTCAGGCAATAATACTAAAAAAAATAATTTAATTAAATCTGATATCTAAAATAATAATATTTTTTGTTTATATAATTCTTAGATAATAAAAGTTTATAAATAAACTATAATCCTGTTATATTATATATAATAATATAATTAAATAAATAAAATATCTAATCTTAGTATATCTAATCTAATAGCTTATTTTATAAGTTAATTATATATAGTAAATATTAATAAAATATTTAGAATTATATTTACTCTGAACAAAAGCTAATACTAGAAAATTTATATAATAATAAATATTAATTTTATTAATTTTTTTAATTTAAATATATTATTAAGAAATTACTTAAGATTATAATAAAGTTTAAACATAGACCTTTCTACTATATATTAAATAAGTATAATATCTCAGATATATATAAGACCAATAAAATAAATATAAGAAAAAGAGAATATAAAAAATAATATATTTATTATTAATAAATTAAAAAGCAGAATACTAAGATCATAAAATTATAATAATAAATATTAAATCTTAATTAAATATTTAAGTAATCTGACTAGAATTATATTACTTACTAAAAATAAATATAATACAGGAAATAAATATTATAAGAATAATTTAATTAAAAAAAAATAATATAATAATAATTTAATATATCTTAATTAGCACAGGATTTTAAACCCAGTGAATCTTATTATAAATAATAAATAAATTTAAATTTTTTCTAGAATATTACTAAAGAATAAAGTAATCTTTATATTAAAAATAATTAATTTTAAAATACTTTCTATATGTCAAGTACATGTCCTGTTTAAATAAATCTTTTTTATTTTAATTATAATAGATAAGATAGATATAATAATAAATAAAATTATAATTAATTTTATATTAATCTTAATTATTATTTTATTAATTATTATACTACTGAATAACATCCTTATTGGCTGAAGTCTAATAATATAATAATATTTAATTTAAAAATAATAAATATTAAATTTTTTATTTAATAAATTTAAATTATTATAGCTCAGGAAGAACAGTAATCTATATTAAATATTTTTTTATTTTATTTTAAAGATTAGATTTTTATATAATATATTAAATTATTTAAGATACTCTAAGACCAGATAATTTATAAGATTAAAATATAGTATAAAAAACTTAAACATAAATTTAAGTATTTAATTATTAAAATATAATAAGAAATATAACAGTTAAAATTCAGATTTAAGAAAATAAATAATCTCTTACTTATTAATTATTTTATTTAAAAAATATTTTTTTATGAGTTATCAGTACAGTAAATAAAAAGATTCTGAAAAGTAAATTATAAAAAAAATTTAATAATAATTTTATTTATTTTATTTAATTAATAAAGAACAAGTTATTTAAAACTTTTAAATATTATTTATATATTAGAAAAGCCGGTACAAAACACCAGTAATAATTATTTAATAAAAAAAAAATTATATTAAAATATATAACTATATTAAATATAAGTATTATAATAAATATTTAAAGCTAGTTAATAATCTGATTAATAAAGATAAGAATTTTCTAGTAAAAATTTTCAGTTATTATAATATAAAATTTAGTCAGTCTTATCGCTATTATAACAGTAATTATTAAAATTATAAATACTTAAAAAAGAATAAGCAGAAGTAGTCTAATAAAAATATATATTTAATAAAAAAATATATTAAAATAAATAATAATTTTAATAATAATATTAATCTAGAAAACTTATTAAAGTCTAGTACAGACTTTAATATATTTTTTATAATAGAAAACTAAAGTCCTTCTTAGAAATAAAAAATCTTAAAAATATATTTAAATCTTTCTTTATATTTATTATATAATAATAAATATTAAATTATATAATTATAAAGTAAATATTATAAATATTTATTATTTATATATCTATATCTAATAGGAAAATTTTTATTTACTTAAATACTGACTCTGACTTTATATGTATCTTATATAAATATCTTATTATTTATTTTTTTACTATTATTATCTAATACTAATTAACTATTTTTAATATATTAGAATCTAATATTACTACTGATAGAATTATTTTCCTTAAGATTCTACTAACAGATAGATACTTAAATATAAATATTCTAGTACTTGAGCGTGTGTCTACTAGTATATTATTTAATATAAATATATATAATATAAATAATATTATTATTAACTTTTTAAAATCATATATTTAATTCTAAAATATATATTCTATATTTTTTTAATCTATATATAATATATATCTATTCTTTAGAAAGAAGCAGGATATTTATATAAATTAAAATATAATAATAAATTCTAGTACAGAATATTTCTTATTAATAATATATTTTTATTATATTCCAGATAATACTTTATTATAATTTAAGTTTATATTATAGATTAAACAAGAAATCAGCTTATTTAATAATTTATCTAGTATATTTATTATAAATAATAATTAGATTCTGCTATATATAAATTTAGAAAATAATTAAATTTAGATATATTAGAAATAATTTATAAAATATATATTTAATCTTAAATTAGTAACAACAATAACAGTTATTATATATATTATATAAACTATAATCAGGTCTGATACTAGTAGTAATCTTTTATTAAATACTTACAGTAATATACCTGATAATCTTAATTTTAATAATATTAAATTATCTATAGCCATTTCTGAATTTAATTTTATATTATTAGTTAATACTAATATATTACCTGTATAAGGCGAAGACTATATTTTCTAAATAAAAATTATATTAAATAAATATTTTTTATTATTCTGATCAGAGCTTAAATACTTTACTAATATAAAAATAATAATCCTGTTTTATAATAAATATAATATTAAAAATTTAAAGTAAAATCTATATTTTCTAATATATAAAAACCGCATAGTAATAGATAGTATCTTAAACTTTTTATAAAAAATAGAACAGATTAAAAAAATATCTCTTAATAAATCTTTTCTTATATTTTTACTAGTCTTTATTATCTAGTAGCATAATAAATCTTATATTATTATTAATTTATAATATATTAATATATATCTAATTCTAAATACTTATCTATTATTATAATAAAATAATATATTAAAAACTCTAGATAGCTTAATTATTTTTATATTATTAAATATTATTAAAAACTACTTTTAATAATTTATAAAATATAAAAACTACTAGAAAATAGCATTTACTACACTGCATTAAGAATATAAATAATTAATTATTATATTTATAGAATTTATCTTTTTCCCTGGATTCTTTCAGGCAAAGATAGAATTTATATTAAGTTATTATTTATAAGATTTTATACTAGTATATATTAATAATATTATTATCTATAGTTAAATTCTAGATAAATATTTATATTATCTAGATTTAATTCTTAACCTGCTTTAAGCCAGCAGAATAATATTATTTTTTATAAAACATTATTTTATATACCTATTAATTAAATTACTGTTACAGGACAAGCCTCTACTAAAGGACTCGGCTAACCAGTCTTATTGCCGCCTGCTAACTAAACATAATATATAAAATCTCAGGAGCTCTGAGGCCCTGTTCTGAACAGTAGTTATTTCTTCTTATTTAATAAATAATATATTCTTAGAATTAAGAGATAATTTCTAATATTAAAAATAATTTTTTAGATAAATCCATAGTATAAAATCTGATTATATAATTAATAAAATATAACAGAATAGAATAGAACAGAATAAAAAAATAATAAATAATATAATATAGTTATAATTCCTTACTAATCTTATTAATAGGCTAGAAAAGACTGAATAATAAATAATAAATTAATAAAATTATTATTAATAAATTTAATAAAATAAACGCGAACAGCTGAATTAATATATTATAAAATTATAAAATATTATTAATATTTAAGCTGTAAATAATACTTCTTATAATATTATTATTTTTTTTTAGTATATAATTTTATAATTAAGACTTATATATTTA